TTTCGTTTTGACTTGGAGCTAGTCTAGATCAAAACTCTATAATTTTGATCGATATTTAGGTTGTGGTTTGTACGCGTCCTGTGACTTATGAACATATCATGTTAACATGAAATAAACCATTCTTCAAGTATTTCAACCTAGCAAAAAAGGGAGAGAAAATATTAGATTAATAAATCAAATATGGTTATTCCATCCACTGAGAACGTCTAAAATGACAAGCAAAATATTTTTTCAATATTTTCAATAAAGAGCACTAATACATATAAACAACATACAGGTGAATGCACATGCATATTCTGGCTGAAATAAATATGCATGGCCGAATCTCAGTCCAGAAAGCACGTATATCTCTCATTTGCAGTACTTTAATAAATCGATAGGGGTCAGGACATATGGATTAACCCCACACAGCGATAACCATCCACAGTTCACTGTTCACCTATCCTCGCATATTTACCTTGACAGGCAAATTCTTACATAAGGCGTACCTTGGGTGCTACCAAATAAGGCAAATATTTCTTCTCTATAAAGATAAACTGTTTTAAAGGGCTACAGACGAGGGGATTTTGGTAAGGCCATGTTGATTTGATTATATGGATGACATCCTCCGGGAGCCCCAAAACTGATGCGCGCGTGCGAATAAAAAAAAAGTTTTGCAAAAAAAAAGTTGTTTTCATTATGAAATGTACGTCGTCATGAAGGTTGAACAAATGGCACAGAATATGGTTTGGCGAATAATCTACTCTTCGAATTCATTTCTTTACAATTTCGTCTTTTTTCGTTTGATTTTAGCATTCTACGACATTGATATGGTTTTTTTTTGTAACTTACGGTATATTTTTGCTCATTTTGCAACTGTTTTGTACGATTTACAGTATGGTTGAAAACTTTTTTTTTTTTTGGAAACGGCCGAAAATTCATGCGCGCGCGGATGTCATCCATATAATCAAATCAACATGGCCTAACGTTCAAGGCAAAAATGATCGGACTAAGGAATATCAATGGTTTTTCGATCGCAACATCAAAGGATGTTTCAACACTGCGATAAAGGATTTAGAGTAGGATTTTCTCTAAATGGCCCTATAGCTGGACCCCAAGGCCACAGCGTACATAGAATCTTAGGAATATCCTGAAGAATACGTGCTGTGTTGATAGATCATCCTATCAGCTCACGGAATTGTGTCTATTTATCATGGCGCTCTCTGCGCCCCGTGTGCATTGTGTGAGCATGACCTGACATGAACCTAGAACGATCCTGAGAGGTGAGTAACCGTTACTATACCGCATGTAATAACGCTATGCAGATCTGTATCTGTAACTGTATAGCCGGTATAACCGCCTTTCGGCGTAACACACCAGCTTCACTGTTTGTGGCTCCATATCACACAAGAAAGATGTCTGTTAAACATATTGTTTTTGCTCTGTTTTTTTCTCCTCCTCTTCTTCTTTTTCTCCGACTGACCAATAAGGTCGATGACCTGAACCAGACGACTGTCTCCATGGAAACTAGTCTTGCAATTTTATAGCAGGAGGATTTATACTCCTGTCTGACCATACATATGAATATTTTTAGTAAGAATTAACTGAACAGACCATATGGGAAGGTAAACATTATGCATTTGCTTTGCAAATGTTACCTTTCTTGTTCATAATACATCCCTGATAAATACACCCAAGAAAATGTTATATTTCAATCCATTTATATTTCAATCCATTTAGTGAATTCATCCGTCTACCTGTCACGTAAGCAGTATGATGTGCCTTTTAATTTATTTTACTATTTATCTTGTCGCTATCTAATCTTCATATTTCGTGATGTATACATCATTAGCCCTCTTCATACAAGCTTGGCGTCTAAAAATGTATAATAGAAAGAACGTTTATTGCAAATACTTGCCCGAGGGCTAATTGCAGTTACAAACAACATAAGAAAGAAAATACAGTGGTATGTGAGACTATATCTACGTCTAGCATTATACTATATTCTACAAGATACATGGTACTAGTTTTACTGGGTTTGACTTCTTCTTTTTAGGCAATGGAAGACGAATTTACCCACTTCTTCTATAATATGTGGGCTCTTTGAGTTTAGTAGTAAAACTGTTTTTTTTTTTGTGGTAGGGAATGGTGGGGAAGTAAGGGAGCATTTTGGACACGGTGCTAAATAGTTGTTTTCTGATGTCGTCATAAAATGGACAGAGATGTGCAAATATCAAAACAATCCATCTACCCTAAAAAAACGTTATAAAAGACGTACAAAGCGGCTATACGCTTCTCGCATTCCACCAGTGACGCACTGCCGTCGGCAGAAGACACCCTGACGCCGTTCTTAATACCGGCTAAGTGAGAATCCGCTCTCTTCTGTCCTATCTGTCTCGTCCCATCACCACCTAGGATTCCATGACGCAAATCAAAAGCCATCCCTCCATTTAGGCGCTCTTTTGTATTTTATACAGCTTATTCATGCATCATATACTGTGCATGATGTACAAAATGACTAATGAACTGGTGGACGTACCAACCACTAAGTATCTGATACCAGCCCAGAAAAGAACAAGAAACAGTCATGCCTTCAAATATCAGAGTTATCAACCAAGAATTGAGGTATTCAAAAAGTCGTATTTCCCCAGAACTATCGTAGACTGGAACTCGTTACCACCAAGCACAGTTGGGGCATCATCACTAGAAAGCTTTAAACAACTCTTGCAATCAAATGTGCAAAGATTAAGTGTAACAAGTCGTTCGGTGTGATATAGCTAGCTGCCGCCGCGCCGCGTGCCTGCGAAGCTGGTGTGTTACGCCGATTGGCGGTTATACTGGCTGTACCGATACACGATACAGATTCAGAATTGCAGATGTTGTCAGTGATAATGGTGAAGAAACTTTGAATAATACTCTTATGCTATTTAGAGCACTCTATGGCGTGTTATTTTGTATTTTTTATTATATGTATCAACACCTACACAAAAGCTAAGGCACCTCCAAAATGCCCCCATCTTTGCAAAGAAAATTCTATGGTTGCCCTCTGCATGTAGTGTCCCTACGTCTGTTCCGAAGTTGAATAACTATTGCCATTTACAGCACTACATGAGCTATCTGCATTCCTCTAAGTCATTGTGTATCCACACCCCCACAAAAGGTACCTTCAATAATGCTCAAGCTTTGGAAATAAAATTCTATTGTTGCCCTCTGTATGTAGTGTCCCTACGTCTGTTCTGAAGTTGAATAACTATTGCCATTCACAGCACTACATGAGCTATCTGCATTCCTCTAAGTCATTGTGTATCAACGCCCCCACAAAAAGTACCTTTAAAAATGCTCAACCTTTGGAAATAAAATTCTATGGTTGCCCTCTGCATGTAGTGCTTCAGCGTCTGTTACGAAGTTGAATGATAGCATAAAGTCAAGGGGGTTCTTTAAAGCAGATTTGACTTGCATTGACTACAGCTTAAGTTGTCCCTGTAGTACTAGAAGCGTTGTGATTGTTGTGACTATTAGCACCTTTATCTGGATCCCTCACTGTGTATAAGTTCTTCTCAAGCCGACCTTTATGTAGTTCAAGCGCATAAATATTCTTAACCCTACCCCTTCTCACCGCAAGTGCGTGGGTTGTTGAAATCTGCTTTACTACAGTAGGAGCTACACTAGTAGCCTATTACATTGTAAAACCTCGGAATTACGCAATCTATATGTGAATCGCCAGACCCCGCCCCCTCAAACACTTTAACCCGGCAGTCACCCGTGGAAGAATACTACTGTATCTCCATTCTGTGCGTGCATGCTAAGTATTTCATATTGCTTGGTTAGATATGTATCTTAGCTACTCTCCAAGCAGAGGTTTTGGGTTATTTTTTAGCGTGTTTTTAGGCTTTTTTCGGGGTTTCTCTTTTGCACTGAGTTTTTTCCCACCAAACCCGGCATTGAAGCTTTCGACTGCTGGCAGAGGTTGGGTTTGGTGGGAAAAAATCAGTGCAAAAGAGAAACCCCGATAAAAAAAGCCTAAAAACACGCTAAAAATACACCCAACCTCTGCTTGGAGAGTATATCTTAGCCCAAACTTTGGTGGACGGAAAACATTGAGAAACTGGGTGAGCATTTATAGTTCTAGGTTGACATACTCTCCAAGTAGATTTCCTCATCTAGAATAGTTGCACAAATCTGAACAGTACAGACATTGGTTTCCTCAACTGCGGGAAAGATAAGGGGGAGGGAAACTAGACAGAACAAAAAACTTGACCATTTGCCAGTCCGCACAGCTTTTAATCTCTGTATTAAATCGGAACGGCTAACTAGAATGATTTACTGTTTTGTAACGTTACACCGAACTGTGTTGTAAATGTAATGCTACTACTGTTATTTCAACCACTAGTACAATAGAGTTAATGTGCATGTTACGTACTTGTTGTTTTACAATTTACCCAATTTATGGGACATGTAATTCAGCCTTTGGGCTATGAAATGTTCTTCGAATGAAAACCCATATCATTATTATTACTGTTATTGTTTTGTTTTCCCGCCCTGTATTTGAATAAACTATCATCATCCATTCTAAAAAGCTTACATGTATGCCAGAAAGTTCAACTGCATGTATTCCATAGTTGAGGCATTCTATACAGGAAGCGCCTTTTACGATCCAAAGATTTGTCCCAGGCTACAGGCATCACATACAAGGCAGGAAATGGTTCGCTATTTTCGATTTGCCGGAAGAAAATTGACTTTAAAGATCATTCACTGAGATAGGTGGCAATCCCATGCTCTAGGTGACATGCAATGACGTCATCGCTTCGCTAGAATTTCCCTCTTAGGATAGCCGCAAACTGGAGTCTGATTAGATAACAAGTAAATGGTAGCAATATGTATCTAACTGAACATTACAGGCGCTCGTATAACGACAAAATGTATGCCAATCTTGGGGGTCCTGTTTTGACAGTCGGCCTATTTGCCCCCTGGCGGTTGTTAGCAGAACGACACCCCCTGACATGACGTCATGCTGTCACATGACCTCCGCCACTGGAGAGGAGAGAGGAGAGCGGCGGCGAGGGAAGGGCAGAGATATTTTTCCTCTGTGCAAAACCACCGGGCCCTGGCGCTGTTGTCACCCCCACACCGCTCCGAAAACACAACCACGACATGGACAATCTAGGTAAGGACCTCTCTGCCACCAGATAAGCGGCAAAACCGCATGTTAGCGCCGCCAGTAAGCGTAGGATATACACAGTGTTGTATCTTTGACAGCTGACATCTTTAGGTTGATGGTTGTGTGTATATGAAGGGTGATACAATCGCTTCAGTGCCGGCCTACGCAAAGATTTTCCTCAGAAAATGATGAAATCCATGTATTTGTTATGTCAGGGTCATAATATGAGTGTAATACGTAAGGCAAATGTTATTCGGAAGATGCCAGATGCCGACTTCCGCTATGTGAGCTCTTTCTGAGCAACCTCCTCCCAAAATGTCGTCTGCACGGACAGACCATCGCTATGTCAGAGACAGGGAGGCTCCGGCGAACCGATGCGTCGCCTTGCTGCGCTGGATATCTCCCATTTCTGGTTAGTAAGAGGGGTCAGGCGGGCTGTCACGGGGTGCAGACGACGCTGGTGTGACGGGGTGCGAAGTTTTCCCTCAGACAGCTGCCGCAGCTATATTTGGTGGCCCTTCTGGTATTCCAGGCATGTGAGAGGCCCCAGCTCCGTCCAGACGCCAGCACACATCACCATGATGTCAGCCATACATACATACATTACAAACCCCACCTATATAACCCGCCCTCTTACGCCATCGCCAGATTGTTAATTACATCAAGTCCACGGATCCGCCGATATCGTTTTCCCGTTCTTCCTCGCTCGATGACGGCATTGTAATTCTTTAACTCCCGGAGGTAAGCTAGGGGACCTCACGCACCCTCCGTGTATGTGTTATCAATAATTCAAGGCGTAGTGCCCACTCCAAAAATCTAGGCGTCAGACGCGTACGGTAAAAACGAATACGAGTGTCTGGGCCTTTGGGTCGAGTCGTCATGGATACAATGTCATGTAGCCAATCAAAATGACAGAAAATGTGGCACTCAGAGAGCTATCATTCTCATTTCTTCAATTTCATTTATCTTAAAGTAGGGATTAAAGACTCTTAATCACATAACTCTTTAATGCCTATAATTGACGTTTTTCAGATTTATCTCTCACATTGTATTGTAATAGTTGAGCCCTTGATGTGTTTGCTTTGGTCCTTTGCAAGCCTTCAGAGATATTTGAACATTGATGGCTCCCTGGGGAACTTGCACCAACAATTACATAAGCTGCACATGGCGTTGCTTGTTATTTTAAGATTGGAGGAATTAGTGATGTTTTCTTAAGAATTTTATATTCAAGTGCTACTGTACACTACTTAAGTAGATTTTTTTGAGTGTGTTTTTTAGTATTCACTGGTACACGTACTAACTGATAGACAAATACTGTTCCAGGGAAGACAAAATACGAGTAGAAGTGACACGTTTTTTCTTCAAGGACCTTTGCCAATTCTTATGCCACATGCAAATTGATGATGCAATGTATTTGTATGCAGAGACCTCCATTGTATTGTCGTACCTGAGGGCCTATTTTGAAACAGCCTTTTTGAAACAGTCTTGAGTAGACTTGGAGAATGGCTTCTGTTCCTCCATTTCTATTTTCTGTAATGGACAAGTCGTAAAACCATGCTTTGTATGCTGACATCACTTGGCCTCAGAGCAGTATCCATTTCACCAGCCACCATTTTTGTTGCTATGAAAGGACTTTAATGCCGTAGAAATGTATGTTGTTTGGCAAAAGAGGACTTTGATTTAGTGGCTTCTGGATGACTTTGTGACGTGACCTGCTTCAGTATATTTCCATTGTCAGGGTCTGTTTGCCAAAGATATGCCCTTCTTTGCTATGACTTATTGTTATACAACATATATTTGATACGTATCAGGGTTGGACAAGTCCCATTGCCCACTTGCCCAGGGCAAGTAAAAGCAATGTTCGGGCAAGTAAATATCCCCCAGTACTTGCCCAATTGGGCAAGTACATTTTTTGGATGCAAAGTATTAGCCCCTGCAGTATTTCAACCAAGTTTTAAACAATTTTGATGAGTAAAGCATCCAATATTATAAACTCTTTCTGCTAGTAAAATGCTTAGAAATGTGTCATATTTTGGGCAAGTAAAAAGTTGGTTCGGGCAAGTGGAAATGACTAGGTACTTGCTCGATAAGGCAAGTGGATTTTTGAAAACTTGTCCAACCCTGCGTATGTAATCCTGTTACGCAATTGAATGTGATGTTGAATTACTCATATTTCTTATACGGAATAGCATTAGTAATAATCATACACTCATTTAATGTCATGCATGAATGACGTTCCGACAAATTTGGAAATGAAATGAAATGATATAGATTCTAGAGTGTGATAAGTTTTGTTATTTTTGTCAGCCCAAATGCTCTTTGACCCATAACATAGCAGTGACCTCAGACCATTTTAAGGTTCTCTTCAAAAGGTCATAGGTCATATGCTGGATGACTGGACCAGAATCCCAAATGGGCCCCAATTTTTTTTTTTTACAAATTTTTCCATTACATCAATACATTGCTATTTGAATGCTGTATACATGTAGGATAGCTTAGTAGGTTCATATACTAACAGTTTGTCAATTTTCTTTGACAACTTCTTGCAATAGATTAAGATTTTCTTAATATAAAAGAAATGACTAGGCTTTAAAGGCGATGTCTTAGATTGAATGTTAATTCTATTGTAAGTAATGTATGATATTGCTGCCATACTTAATTGTGGGTCATCTATTCTACGATGATTTGATACAGGTCAGCTGTTGTAAAGAGGCTATTTTCTGCTCTATTTCTTACACTGAACACCATATTTACAAGATTCAATGACCCTTAGCTTTTAACTACACTAAAATGGCGTAACTGTTTCATTTAAATTTTATGTGCCATAGTGTCAGAAAGCATCAATAATTATTATTGTTAAAAAAAGGTGTGATTCTTGTAAAAAGAGGTTTTTATGTATTTCTTTAGTATTCTTTTTGTTACATCAACACATGCAAAAATAAGTCAGAAAACCAAAGATGTCATTGCGTTATTGCACAAGTGAGATGTTCTGAAACAGTGAAAGACAACGTCATAACGCATAGTAGTTATACCACTTGTCTTCATAGTAGTACCCCAGGGTAAAATACTTCAGTTTAAGTACTTTGTTATTAGACAAGTGAAACGTTACAATTCACAAAACAGCTTCCATAACACATTATGTAGCTGACACTCCCAAGCTGAAAAATGTGTCTGTTTTTTTGTGTTTTACTACATCCTTCAGGGTAAAATAGTTCAGTTTGTTACACTAATTTACAAATTACTTAATTATACCTTTTGGCAGTTTCCAGAGTCTTTGATATGAGTTTTTTCACACCAGTAGTAGAGACTGACGCAAGAAGACAGAGGAGCATACAAGTGTTGTCATTTTGTTCTGTCAATTTGCCAAGGTACTCAACAGATATACAGGTGTAATTTTGGCCCTGTTCATGTGAAGTCAGTGAAGGCGCTTTACATGTGGTTTCCCCCGAAACCAGTTTCAAGTGGCCCCATCTGAACGCTCCAAATAACATTGAAAGCGCCTCGATCCCAAGCCACTTCTAGAGGTGGTTCGAATCGGTTTTCCCGCATCGCGGTTTGCGTCTGAACGCAATGTGATTTCAATGTGACTTCACCTGGTCATGGATTACGGAGTGATATTTCTTTATTTATATGCAATACCAAATTTTACGTGGCAGCAGCCTAAAGAGCAGTAGTGGTCAAATAATGTGTCCATTTTAGGATGTGGACCAGATGTGCGGAATGCGAGTTACCCGAATCGCGGTTTAGGTGGTTCCATATGAACAAGGCCTTTAAGTCTATGCTGGTCTGACTACAATCGAGTTATGCAGGGGAGGAGGACCAGTCAGTCTCATACAGCAAGAAATTTTGCTGGGCACTCTATCAAATGCTTTCAGTCAAAACAAACAGAGTGGTCTATTTTGGTCCAGCTCTTCCATCAAGCATATATGTGTGTTATAACTTTTAAATTAATCATGAAGATTCATCCATCAGACAATGAACAGATGTCTTTGTAATATCAGAACTCAAACTGTTGCCAAAATATCAATAACTCAGTCCACAGACAGCAGATGTCGTTGTCATTGATAAAAAGGACTCGTTTGATGAAATTTGTGGGCTGAAAGGATTCCAGGGGAATTATGAAAGGAATTTGTTATTGTGGGTAACAACACACCGGTAACCCTCGCAATATGCTGGGAATGCAAAACAGCTTTTAACCAATCAAATCAATCCTGCTTAGCTGCGTGGATCCAATCTCTGGTTGATCAGGAGGCCCTGTAGTGTTGCTAATTGTGACGTTCTTATTAGCATATCAATCAGAACAAGACAGGTGGGCGCCCAGTTACGTCCAAACAAAATGCCCCACATTTTTTAAACCTAAATCATCTTGTATAAAATTACAAGATGTTGCATATGTAGTACTGATTGTTTTTCATAGCCGTCATACATTCTTAATTTCAAGGGTGAAGTAGTATGTTTTGACTAAATGCAAGTAACATGTGTCTAATGTGTTGACTGATGGGTCATTAATATGCAAATGTGAACTGATCAGCTGTTAGCCCTCCCTCTGTTGTCTTTTTCTATATATAAATAGTAGTGTTTTGGTGCAGTTTATAACTTCACATTCATCAATCACAACATGAAGAAGGTTAACATTCAGCTTAGCCATTAGGGCTGCAATTTTGCATTGAGCACCTTATATTGAAATGATAAAGAATACAAATCATGTAAAATGTTCAAGTAGTATTTGTACTACTTTTGTCTATGTAACAAATAGAAAAGCCAAAAAAGTAGATAAAATTAAAGTACATGTATATGTAATTTGTTGAGTGTTATTGCTGGTTTGTATAGGCCAAAAGATCTGAAAAACCATCTTCATTAAGAGAGGGACGAGTGCAATTGAATATCAGAATTGGTATACATGTAATTTCTGACTGGGAACGTTGAAAATGTAGTTTTCTTGGCTTAGATAAATTTTTCTTATGGTTGTGATCCTGTATTATGTATAGGGGTCACTCAAGAAAGCCAACTCCAAAATTGGGTTTAGTCATGCCAAGAAATGTAAATCTTGCCTTCTTAAAAGTCTGTTGAGCCAGCTATAATTTTCATTGCGTGAGCTTACAGTAAATACCACTACTTGGAAACTGGAGGTCAGGAACAAAATGTGCTCAGCATTCACAAATCGGATTGCCTTTTGAAGGAAATAAAGATTATGATTTCTGCGAAGACCTGCTAGCTGTTTTGTATGCTGCTCCATTTCGTATGACGTGCGTACGGGTGTACGCTGCTCCCAGTGTCACACATGATTCACACCATTCCCATCAAATTAAAAATGAATGACTTCTAGTCATTTCATTGCCGCAGATTATTTTATCATCACTAGGCAGTGTTCCTTTTGTGACCTACATGTACATGTGCTACATTTAATTTCACAATTTTGTAATATATATTTAATAACCCAGACCAAGGTGACTTTGCAAGGTATAATTTTTCACTTGCAGTTGTTGTTTGACTGTCTGGTTGATTGCAGCATTGTGGGATGCTCCAATATGTTATTTTTCCCATGTGGGTACTTTTGTCTTGCTCTAGGAAGAAATGATTTGATTCTGGGGCAGTTCCAGGATAACAGCTTCCTTTGATTTGATATCGCATCTTTGTTTCACATTAGGAGCACGTCTATCATTTATACTGAGTAATGCTTCGTTGGCAGAGATTTGTGCTATCCATTAGCATCAACTTGTTGTAAAATTGTTGTTCTTTCTTTCAGTACTATTGTTGTTCATTTCTTTCAGTACAATGATAGTGACGGAAAACATCACTAAGTCTTTAATCTATCATTAGACCATTCCGTGTGAATTCTATACAGTTAAAGACTTAAAAGGCTGAGGGCAGTATATTTTTCTTCCGGCTAAATTATAGAGACACACCCAATATGTCCCAGTACATTATGTTAGCAGAAGCTGATCCTAGCCTCTGCTAGTCCAACTATTCTGGCTATAGGAAAATAAGTTGCAAGGAGAGTTAGAATTTGCCAGCACTTCTAAGGGGAAATTTGAAATGTTATTCTTACCGCAGGTCACTACCTGGCTAATTGTTCAGCCTATTTTTGCCAAATTCTACTGTCCATAACTTTCAGGAAGGCCTGGTGCAGGCTTCTCCCATCCAAGGCATTTGATGATCTGGCATTGCTTCCAACTGGGCAGATCAATGGAACTGGTCTTATCTTTCAAGAGGATAAGGTTCCCATCTTGAAAGTGTGTGTAGTAATTGGATGAGAACGGAATTGCATGAAGTTGGAATATGAATTAGCTCATGAACTGGAAGATACATGTGCACAGATGGGCAGAAAAGGCGAGAAAATTACTACTGTTGCTATAAGACTCAACACACTAAGACACTATGTACATTGTAAGGCCCTAGTGCTCAAATAACTGATGATTTAATTTATTCTGAGAGTGACAGTAGTTGTATTCTTTTTCTTTCCTTTGCAGATTGAAGACACAACAGCCAAGACTCCTACTTTCTTCTTTCCTTCTATTTTCCTTCTTGGACTCTTCTATATCTGCTGGAGCTACAAGGAACTGAGCACAGGTTGAGGCACCATGTCCTCCGTCAAGGTTGCCGTGCGCGTACGGCCGTTTAACAACCGGGAGATCGGCCGCCAAGCAAAATGCGTCATCTCCATGAAAGACAAAACAACCGGTAAGGATCGATCTGAACTTAATGTTGTCATTTATATTGTATTACAGACTTGTCTTGTTATCTAAGATAGATTTAATGTCTTTGTTGTTTCAGACGTTTTGATGCACGGAAAGACTAAGATGAAATGAAATGATGTTATGAAATGAAAATTTAAGACTTTTTGATTACCGTAACAATAAGTCCTTTTCAGTAATAGTGTATGACTGACCGCTTAGAGGGCACACATATTCCACTGTCTGTCAATGTATATAACTCAGTTGTGAAATTAAGTTCTGTAGCAACAACTGTACTATTGTCCTAGATGCAACCGTAATCGAATTCACAAAAATTTCATTTAACCACACAACCAAGGACTGTCCTTCAAAATGCTGACTCAGTTTCCCTAACAAAAAAGCTTTCTTTCTTGCCTTTTGGCAGCAAGGAAGAAAGAAGGTTCATGCACACAAGGAGGTTGTTATTGCCTCTTCAGTCACAGTTTGAATTCTGCCAGCGTTGGTTTCATTCAGGCTTCCTGTCTGGTGACCTGAAACGTCAGAAGGCAGCGCAGCGTTCCATTAGCGCAGATGAATATTACTCCCATTTAGCGGGAGTGAGGAGGGGCTGATGACGTCTAAGGATTATCGGGCTCCCCTGGCAATAAGGCCTACTTATGGTCGTACATGCAGAGTTTACTAAATATGCACAGCTTCTGTACCGATGGTGGTATGGTGTTGATGGTCCATAGATTTAGACAAAGCTTACTACGCAGTTGTCTTTTGACATGAGGCCATACCTTCGATATTTGATACTCATCCTCACAAAATTTTTGAGACACATGATTACTAAAATATATCTGCACAGAATGTGCAACAAGTCCTTTGTATTGTGACATATCATTGTTTGCTTTTTATGTTTTGAATGTATGAATGTCATTGAAAAGAAATCTGGCTACCATCTCTTGTCAGTCGCAGTGACATGATTAACCAATTAAAAGCTGTTATTATGTATACTTTCAGACAGTCTGTCTGCGATCTATTTTGTAAAATAAATTAGTACACTCATAACTTGTGAAATGTTGTGTTCAAAATTATGACAATGCGTTGTGTGATTGCGTTCTCTGGAGTTGCCTCTAGTTCACATTCCAGTCATGCGATAGCCACTGTTCCATGTTTTGAATTGGACGGATATTTTCCTCCCTTTTCAGCCATCCAACATCCCAAGCAGTCGAAGGATGTGAAAGCGTTCAACTTTGACTACTCCTACTGGTCCCACACCAATGTGAGTCATGGTCCCGTGACATTTGCTCCAGCATACCCACACCCTTATGTAGTAATGCAGGGCTCGAAATACTGGGTGCATGTGCACTTTAGTGCACCCAAATTTGGAGCTGTGCACCCAATTATTTTCTATGGGTGCACCAGTGCACCCAAATGTTTTTTGTAGGTTTACGTAATAATAATAAGTCAAGATGTTAAATTTAGAGTAGTAATAGTATTCAGCATATTCTTAACATCCAAGTGTCAGAAAAATAGTAAAATCATTCTTGTACTACTAGTTGTAGTACTTTTCTTTAGAAACAAAACATATATATATTAGTTTTCGCTGATATTCTACTTATTTTATCTTATATGGTGCACCCACAGAAAATTTTGTGCACCCAATTTTGTTAGGTTGTTGCACCAGTGCACCTATTTCCAAAAATGAATTTCGAGCCCTGTAATGGCATCCTCAACTTAGCTTTGTGGGTGATGTAGATTTTCTGTTTCATTCCCCAGAGCAAACAAACATCAAGAACATTACAAATTGCAAAGATGAACATTTTCTAGTACATGACAAGGTTTGATATGAATGAAATTACGATGGTTCAACAGTTCTTTGTTTATTCACTAGTGCAAACCACTACTTCTATGAAAATGCTTATGGTGTCAAAATAAATGATTTTTGCTGTGTTGTCATGGCAACAGGATAAACAGAACCACAGTCATGAAATATAATTTCTCATAAATGCACACAGAAAATGTGTTTCAAATTAAAGGAAAAGAAATTGAATTTCTGGTTGACCAGCCAACAAAACAATAAACTGCATAGCTGCATGTGGTACTTTGACAGTGAGAACTGAAAGTAGTAATAAATGCCAATGGAAAAATCAAACATTAATATGAAACACACGCCTGCACTTGTGCATGGTCTAGAGCTTGTAATTTCAGCCTCTTAATGCAGTGCAATAAATACAAAATGTCCTCATTATGCTTTGGACTTGTTTATATATACATACTGGATGAAATTGATCTGTGTTAGTTACTGATTTGGTTGCCATTCATGCATACCTGTCCGCATATCTAGATCTGTGTCATCTAATTTTATGCCTAACATTGAGCAATGTTGACATACGATGACTGTATACATGTAGAATGCCACTATCAAATATACATGCATGTTTGGCTATCTAGATATCTTTCAAATGCATGATATTTTATCAAAATGGTGTTCTAGTGTTATTGCATAAACTTAAAGTCATTGGCCTATATCTGTAATGACTTTACCCTTCGGTGGTTTAATTCATACATTGTACATTGTATATTGATCAGCAGTGTTTTCATAATACTTGGGCCCCTAATTTCAGTGGGTGTGTCAAGTTCCAGAATTCCATCCATACATTATACAGGCACTGAATCATGTTTCGAGAATGTCTTCAGAAGATAACTAATGGAAGGATATCAGAAAATATTCAACATAAAGCCTTTTATCTTCACATGCAGCATTATAACACTATGCATGTTCCCAATCTTATCTCAAAATGCATATACAGTACATTGTATGTAACTGCATTACTCATGCTACACCTACCACAGTAAGCCATTATAAACCTTGTGTGTGTTCATACATTTTGAATTCCACTGTGATATTCCTTTTTGATAATATGGAAAGTAGCCTAAATTAGACATTCAAGATCGAACACTTCATCTACGCTCAATGATGATCTACATCTACATCAATGAGAATTCATTTAAATTCAAAACCCAAAAGAATACTGAATTGTATGGAGAATATCTAGTACATGTATACATGTACAGTTGGTCACACTGCATAATTCTATCTAATACATGTACCATCGGATCAATACGTGACTCAGTCTAGGCAATCTGTTTTTTGGCTGGATTATTCAATATATAAGGGGAACAGTTGATCAATACAAGCGTGCGCCTGCCAGAGAGAGGATTATAAATGCAAGATTGATCTCGGAGTAAAAAGGAAATCGGTCAATAGCTGGGTCTGGCCTCAGCTTAGTACTAATCATACTGAAAATAAGCTACAAATAATCTTTGTTTTTGTAACATACAGAATTATTACAGTATGCAAACTGTTTTTTGAACAAAGAAGTGATAAGCCCATATGATTTTTATAAAGGAAATTTGAAAGAAGCTATTTGTATCTGCCTAACTAACTGCAAATTTTGCCTTTCATAAATGCATATTTTCTGTCAAATATCATTTAAAGTTAATGTTACAGAATTCACTGCCAATTTAATGTTCTCTCTGTTGCCTTAAACCCAGCTTTGGACATTTAAATAAATCAGAAAAATTAATATTTCTTATGAAACTTGACAAACAATGTATCATTAGTGCTATATGCTCCTCCATCTATAACTGCATCAAGAAGCGAGAAGAAGTTGAACATGTAAATAGTAGATCACATTAGTGTGTATAGTTTAAGTATCATTCCTGTATCCTTTTCCTTGTCTATTCATGACCTGTACTTAGCTTGTTAGAGCACAAACGTACAATAAAGGTCTTTCATTCATTCAATAAACAGTAGAGAACTGGTAGCCAAGTTTTCAGTATACCAAAGATTAAGAAATTAAAATCTTCTCTGACTGTAGGAGCAAGATCCCAACTTTGCCGGCCAGAACAAGGTTTACCAGGACATAGGAGAGGAGATGCTCCAACATGCGTTTGAAGGCTACAACGTGTGCATCTTCGCCTATGGGCAGACGGGAGCCGGGAAATCCTACACCATGATGGGCAAACCTGAGCCCAGGGACCAGCAAGGCATCATTCCTCAGGTATGGAACACTAGAAGGGTTGTTGTCGCTTTGACATTCTTAGATATTTGTTTAGGCCACACCAATTTAATTTCTTGGTTAACGGATTCGCCCGCTTCATTTTTTTCTGATTTGCAAAAAAAAATATAAAAATGCAGAATCAACTGCAAAATGCTCATATTTTGCCCTGAACAGTTGAAAACAGTCCTTTTCTTCCTGATTGTTACAGTTATTCCATCTTTCAATGCAATGGTATCATTAAAGGTTGAAAATTCATTGTTTGAATTTTGAACCAGCCTGGTGTGTTGACTTCATGGCTCCTATCGTGCCATTTTGGGCCATAAGAGGCTGCCTAGGCCTGTTTTTATTTTTTTTTCGCCCGCCCGCTCCATTATTTTTCTAGAAATTAACCAAGAAATTAAATTGGTGTGGCCTTAGTGAATATCGATTTTACGGACCTTTTTTTTCGTTTATATGTAAGCAGGGTGGTCATTAAGTCTAAATTAAGTTTCTTAATTATGTATATTGGCCAAGGCCTGTCTATCCCAAAAAGACTTGTGAAGAAGTCCATTTGTATTCTGTACGCAAACTACACACCCCAGCAAACCAGTTCAGACAAGATAACCTCCTTTGTAAAGGAAATTAAAAAGAGATTAAGTGTCAGAGAGAGAGAGAGCAGGGTTGTGGAAATGCATAATATGCATAACTGATGTGCCAGTAGGTTGTATGCATATGTGCATATGAGTCATCTTGCCTAAAATAGATAACAGAAATAGGTCAAAAGTAGTTACATACTGATTAAAAAGGATTGAATTTTGGACTTTTTCTGACAGTGACCATATTTCATACTCAATAGTAATAACTATAAGTAAATGCTGATACTAGTAGTTGGTTTTCCAGGTTAGCAATAATTAATGTAATTTCATCTAAGGCCACACCAATTTAATTTCTTGGTTAACGGATTTTTCTAGAAAAATAATGGAGCGGGCGGGAAAAAAAATAAGAAATAAAAACAGGCCTATATAGCTAGGCATCCTATTATGGCCCAAAATGGTACGACAGGATGTTAAGGGTTTGAAGGGACCAGGTTAAAAAAGGTATTTTAATTCAATAGCTGATGATTATACAACATGATTATATATTTATATTATGATGATACCCTAAGAATACCTGAGTCAAAAATCCATAGGCCCAGTCAACTGTGACATGTATATGACATTGTCTTATCTTTGTATTAGAAGCTTTAAGCAACAGGAATAATATTGAATATGTGTAGTATGTACATGTACCATGTCTGACTATTAAGTATACAGACCTGGAGTTTGGAATAGATTAGGTCTTTGTTAAGAGCGCCCCATGTTTGATTGTGGACAAAGACGCGCTGGTCCCGGGATTACAATTATTGGATATCCGCTGTGCAATCAAGTTATGCATCCCCCGCACAGGGCAATGTGATTTATTAGTATTGTCTGAAGCATTGTACTCGGGAATGAAATATTCATCTGGGGAGGGAGACAGGAATGGACTTGAATTTCTAATAGATTTAGATGTTGCAGTACATACAAATTTGTATAATATTAAATGTGTGCATAGACGATTTGAGAATTTTGTTGTAAGCCAATTTTATACAAGCCAGTAGGGGAGGGAGACAGGGATGGACTTGAATTTCTAATAGATTTAGATGTTGCAATACATACAAATTTGTATATTAAATGTGTGCATAGATGATATGAGAATTTTGTTGTAAGCCAAACGAAAGATGTACATCTGAGAATGACTATAATTATGTTTACCGAAGGAAAACATATTGTTTTTGCTCCATTTCTTCTTCCTCTTCTGTTCCAAACACTAACCTCTGACCTGGCCAATGGCCTCTAGACTTTTGTTGATGTCTGTCACCATAGTAACTGGTGTTGGGTTACATAATGTTGCAATTTCATAGTAGGCATTTAGACTCCTGTCACCATATACATGTATGTGAGTGTGTTTGAGTAAGAATTAACAGAGCAGACCATATCCGAAGGTAAACATCATGCATTTGCTTTGCAAATGTTACTTTTCTAGTTCTAACAGTGTTATCAACATTTCCTTCCAGCTATGTGAAGAACTGTTTGACAAAATTAAGACTCAGGAAAGCAAGGACCTGCAGTTCTCGGTGGAAGTCAGCTACATGGAAATCTACTGCGAGCGTGTGCGCGACCTGCTCAACCCCAAGAACAAGGGAAACCTACGTGTTAGGTAAGCACAACTGCGGCCAGAAATACAAAAAAAGAACTTTATTGCATGACAATATATTGTACATGGTACACACATACACACACACACAACAACAAGAATTTGGAGACCAAAAGGTCAAGACCATAGCATGTTCAGACTATAACAAAAGATACAAAAACCGAAAGTTCTGCTGCAGTACCAAGGTCATCCACCAGGAGGCCCATATTTAACCTTGACCTTCATCTTCCTAAGACTTGCCAGCATACCAAATATCATCACAATCCATAAAGGCGTTATGAAGTTATGCTGACTACAAATGTGCGGAAACACAAACACACACACACACACACACAGACGCGCCAAAAACAATACCTCCATTTTTCATGGAGGTAATAACTATAGAATAACACTAAAAAATCCTAACTGTCTAATACCAGTACATTTGGCAGGGTAGAGATTGCGATCTCAGACTGGCAGAATTGCTGATTCTGCTGGTAGAGATCTTTGTCAACAGAGATTCTAATCAGGATGTTATCGATGTGTCTCATTATATTTCAGTCCATACCATGGTATGGATGAAATATATTGTGTTCTCTGATGTTTCTTCTTCTCCTTCTTCTCCTCCTGCCACACAGTCAAAGGGATTCAACTCCGCTATCATTCAGCCAAATGACTTGAAATTTGGCATGGAGGTAGAGTGGGCCAATACCCCCAGGCGTTTTTTTCATTTTTTTGATACATGCCTTTGAAAAATTTTTATGAAGGTTTTTTGGGGCATTTTTCGCCCAAAAATGGATTTTTGGATCCCGAGCCCTGGTTTTACAACCAAATGATCTGAAATTTGGTATAAGGGAACCTTGAACATGTGTCTACAGAATAGCAGTCACATATTTGGCATACACCACTTCCAAGTGACTCATTTGGGGGACTTTAATGACTATTTTCAGCAAAAAAAGGGCCAAAAGTGCTGTACCCGTTCCATGTTCTATCTAAAGAATGGCCGGTTCCATCCATGGAACACGTGTTCCATTGGGGGTTTCCTGAGGTCACATTGCACCTAAGTGGTGCGTAATGACCCACACATTCAATTTTATGTGCCTAAGACCTTCAAAATGTATCAAATCTCATCATTGTTAGTTTTTGCATACCTGTAATAAGATTAGTAAAGCTTTCGAGATTCAAAGTATTTGTTGTTGCATCTTTGTTCTCATATAGCTACTATTTAATTCATTTATTTGAGAACCTTTGCCAGTTTTGCACTGGGGTAAGTTTGGAATAGTCCACTTTTGCGTGGGAGGGAGATGGACTGAAATATGCTGTATTTGCTCCCAAGCAAATGTCGGCCTTTCTAGTTTACACATATTTCTCAATTCATTCCATGGATCTAAAGTGACAAGACTCGGAGTTGAAAAGTGCTGATTGTCTTTTTCGTAAAGTTCTTTAAATTTACATGCCCGATCGGGATCTCTACTGGTAGAATATGCAATCAGAGTTTCTATCGACAGAAACTTCGATCAGTATCTCTACTGGTAGAATTGGCGCCAGATCGGAGTCTCTAATCTAACGTACATGACATTGTATAGTCACCATTCTCCAGTTTTTTTGCGGTGCTGTGGAAAGGCATATAATATTGATCTTGCTAATATTGTTTTTGCCTACATGTACATTGTATGACTCGGATGATGCTTAAACGTAATGGACAGAAGATTTGGTTATCATACTAATAAGTAACTACTTTGGCAACTGTCTTGTACATTGGTGTATGATGCATTTTCTAAATGTGAAATTTGACACTTTCCCACAACAGAGAGCATCCTCTGCTAGGACCATATGTAGAGGACCTTTCCAAGTTAGCTGTGACTTCCTTTAACGAGATCAACACACTCATGGATGAAGGCAACAAAGCAAGGTACAGAAACAATCATCTTATTATTTGCTATCCCTCTATCCCTGTATCCCTCTACCCCTATAGCCCACTATCCCTAGTCTGTAGCCCTCTATCCCGGTAGCCTTCTATCCCTGTATCCCTCTATCCCTGTATCCCTCTACCCCTATAGCCCTCTATCCCTATAGCCCTCTATCCCGGTAGCCTTCTATCCCTGTATCCCTCAATCCCTGTATCCCTTTAGCCCTCTATCCCTGTAGCCCTCATCCCTGTATCCCTCTATCCCTTTAGCCTTCTATCCCTGTAGCCCTTTATCCCGGTAGCCCTCTATCCATGTAGCCCTGTATCCCTTTATCCCTCTAGCCCTCTATCCCTTTAGCCCCCTATCCCTTTAGCCCTCTATCCCTGTAGCTCTCTATCCCTGTAGCCCTCTATCCATGTAGCCTTCTATGCTTGTAGCCTTCTATCCCTGTAGCCCTCTATCCCTGTATATACCCCTCCATCCCTATCCCTGTATCCCTCTATCTCCGTAGCCTCCTATCCCTGTAGCCCTCTATCACTGTATCCCTCTATCCCTGTATCCCTCTATCCCTGTGTATACCCCTCTATCCCTATCCCGGTAGCCCTCTATCCTAGTATCCCTGTATTCCTCTACATCTACAGTACATTTTCAATCCAAATTTATGCAAAAGTGTCATGTACTCATTATGTACTTCCAGAAGATTGTTGTACGATTTTTCCCCGCTATTCCCTATCTAGCAGCTTTAACTTCCCAGTAAATCAGGCATACATAGCATACTAAAGCTGGTTGTCGTTTACACATTTTCTGACATGTTGAATTATTTCGTTGCACTTTGATAATGAATAGCTTGCAGTGGGTATATAATAAGGGGAGCGGTGGGGTGGAGTAAACTGGTATTTCACCCTAAGGTGGAGTCGTTTAAAAACGGCTCGTCAAAGCTGGTGATTTGTAACATCAAGGAGCAGAACAGCCCATAAACAGGAGTGAAAGATGACACACCGGCTTTTAACGAGGCCATAACTTGATGTTTATTGCGACACGCAATGTAGTGCTTGTCCAGAGATTGGCATGATTCCTACACGGCTAAGAGAACACCGTAATTTTTGCCATGCAGAATAGAAATGTAATATATATATCTGCTGTCAGAAGAAAAACATTAACAAATCAGTCAAAAGTTTTCTGTCAGGTAGAGGCTATATACATTTGTACAGTGTATATACATGTAGCCTGTGTTCCATGCATGAACACTATGCTCATAGACCACTTGTTTTACACTCTACTACTACTATAAGAAGCCTAGCGGAGGTCAGAGCAAGTACATGTACATTGAAAACGTTCACAGATCAAAACCAGGCTCTAATAGGTGAAACCTGTTTCTTTGAATCTTCATTTCATAGTTTTCCCCAAAAAACGTTTCAACTAAAGTTAAGTACACAGTGTCACACAGACCTTTTAAGAAACTCTGAGAATGACATTATCAATTCTGTGTTGTCTTATCGTGGTCACCATTTTTTTTTCAAAACTATGGCAGCAACTATGATGGATTGAACCCAGGCTTCCTTTGAATTTTCTGTTCATAGATTTAAAACTTATGTACAGTACCGTTCGCGTTATAGTTACCCTAACGGCCGTTACTAACGCGTTTTTTTCCCGTTAGTTTTCCGTTATTAACTGGTTACTTTTCCGAAAGTTTTCCGTTACTTTTCCGAAAGTAACGCGTTTCTTTTTCGTCAGACTTCTCCATTCATATGCAGGCGCGGTAACATCACAGGAATCGTGGGAGGAGTACTAATTTACCTCATGCGGGGCGGGAAATTACCGATACACACCGCTGGAACAGCGGAAGGAACGTTGATCTAGCCCGCATTTTACTATATAACAGTAACGTTTAAAACCGGCGCATCAATTAGATCGACATTTTCTTTTGTCAGTGTTGCCCATGCAAGCGTTTCTATAGTTTGTCAACTTTATTTTGCTGTTTTTCTCTGTTTGTTTACTTATTTTACCACCGAATATGCAATCCTAGATGATCTGAAGTAACTGTTATGAATACCCCGGTCCGCCGTACATAATAGGCGGCGGGCCCGGCGTGAGGTAACGTTAGGGATGTGCAAAAACATCGCGAATAATTCCTATAACACTCGAAAAAAGGCAGCATATTTACACGTGCCCACAAACATTTTTTTATGGCTAATTATTGACCAGTTTTGGGGAGTTTTGTTATGTCCTTGGGGTTTTGTTTAGAGTGGGACAGAAAGCCGTGCGGCGACTCCGACTCTGTGCACTTCCGTGTTACATTACGTTGTACGTGACCAACAAAATTACGCCAAAGGCACCACAAATCCACATGTGCATATATATTTTTCCCGAAAATTCTTTTGAGTACGCATTTCGCCACTAGGATTTTGCTAATTAGTCGTAGAAATAAGGTAGAAACCAGCGTAAATGTGGCTATCTCGAGATCGAGCTCTCTCAGCACTTCGCGCGGGGAAGGGCGCCCCAGCATGCAACGGGCTTCGTTCTAGCCAATCAGAGCGCAGGTCATCTAAGGTGAACCAATCAGAGCGTAGCTACTTGCATATTATAATGAGCATGCTGCTTCACATGCCGGCGGCCGGCCCTGAGTGCGCGGGAAATGTGTTTTGCAACTATATTTTTACGGGGATTTTCTGACGTTTGACGCTGACTTTGGCACGATATGATCGCACTACCATGTACACGCTACCGTAGGCGGCAAATGAGTGGTCATTTTTATACAATCGTCGAGAAATTTTGGCGTTATGCACCCGGAAGTGAGCCGATCTCAGTTTGCGTTCCCTCGATTTTTGACAGTTTCCCCCGTGTTTCCCTCCTCAAAATAAGAAACAAAACTACCGCTATTAAATAGAACCATGTATTACAATTATCATTTCAACATGATAGATCTATTATATATTCCTTTATTTAAGTATGATATCATCATGGTTGTGGAAAGTCCTCAGCTAGCGAACCGAGTCCTTGCGCCGGGAGTGACGGTACATTTTACCGTGAGTATTAAAGCCGCTACTACTAGTAAGCCGCGCGCCTTACAAAAATTATAATAATTTTTCTTTTGTGCCAAAAACCGCCGTGAATTTAAGGCATGAGTTACCGATTTATATTTCTTCTACGGCAGATATTTCTTGTTTCGTCACGTCCCATGACGTCCTGTGAGAGCGGTAGGCCGCCGCTGGTACAAAATGTACAAGACGTCGTCTGCCCTGCACTGCTACACTTTGTTGACATACATTGTATTACACAACGTAATTTTCCGCTAGAAATAACGATAGAATAGCAATAAAAGATAGCACAGTCGACACATGGATAAACCACAAAGTTATTTTACGAATCACATATCCACTTGCCTCTGGTACTGTTACTAGTATTTTTCAAGGGGCAACATCGCAACACATTAGCGGACACCCCAGGAGGTGGCAAATTGCTATTGTCTTGTCGGCGCGCAAAACAAACATGAAATCCGACCCTATCACATTAACGCAAACGGTAACGCGTTAGAAATAATTTCTGACGATTTTCTAACGATCTTCTGACGAAAATCTAACCAAATACTGACGAAAATCTAACCAAATACTGACGAAAATCTAACTCGTTAGTAACGGGGTACCCGGTTAACTATAACGCGAACGGTACTGTATGCAGGATGCTAAAAAGAAACTCTGATAATGATAATTATTGTCCATACAGCATTCTGTGTTGTCTGACTAGTACTGTGATCAACATTATTTTTTTTTCAGAACTGTGGCAGCGACTAACATGAACGAGACCAGCAGCCGCTCCCATGCTGTGTTCACCGTGGTCTTCACTCAGAGAAGACATGACGAAATGACAGACCTCTCCACTGAAAAGGTAGGAAAAAACACTGATTTTATAGCAGCTACTCATCTTAAATTCTGTCTATCTTTCACATGTTTTTTCAGCTTGAAAAGTACAAAAAGAAAGATCTTCTAAATGAAAACTTTGTGTTTAATTGATATTCTTTCGATTGTCTTGCAGGTTGCAAAGATCAGTCTAGTAGACCTGGCTGGAAGTGAACGTGCGAACGCCACTGGTGCTAAGGGTGACCGACTGAAGGTAAGAAACATAGTCAGCTTTGAAATTTGTCAATCTAAGACTAGTTATAAAATTCTTTATAACGACTGAAAAGCATTGATATACATGTACAAGATCTGTGGAAATTCATTGATTCATTGAACTTCTTTCTTTCTTTTCTATGTGAAATATAGGAAGGAGCTAACATCAACAAGTCCCTAACCACCTTGGGCAAGGTCATTCATGCACTAGCAGAGTCGGTAAGTTTTCTCAGCTCTGAATTTTGCTGCTTTTGGTTTTTCTTTAGACAAGAAGTGCTTTCTTTGGAATACTACATTTAGGTTTTGGCTGATTTTTTTGTTGAATTTCAAATAGAGGTCATAAGAGTTGCTGTTTGCTCGTACAACTTTGTTGTTATTGGAGGAGAAGTTTAATTTTGCATAGTGCCGTCTAGTGTGCATACATTAGTGCCATGATTCTCAAAATGCCATAATTCTACAAAGCCAAGCCCCACAAAGAGTTCTTTCTTCTTTGTTGTTGCAGTTGAAATCTGAATTGCTTTCGTTGCGCTTCTAGTGCTGTGCTACGCATGCACTGGCTCAACCATCATTTTTTGTAATAGAAAAAAAAGATGAAAAAGTCTGCCATGTTTACTAACTAACCATGGCTCCTTTCTGAAATCCTGTCCCCCCCATTATAGTCGCAGTCTGGGGATGTGAAGAAGATAATAAAGGTGTTCAACTTCTTCTTAATTACATGTGACGTTCTGTGTATTGAACTTCCATGTCATTATTATAGCATCCTCAGAACTTCCTCTTACTAGTTTCTTCTGGCCACATCCATGGCACTTTCTGTTGACACTGTTAATTAAGTGTGTGAACTGGCTGGTGTGTTGTTGTTTCTCACCCTGTGATGATTTTTAAAATGATTTCAGTCTCAGTCTGGCTCGAAGAAGAGGAAGAAGTCTGATTTCATTCCGTACCGTGATTCTGTTCTGACCTGGCTTCTCAGGGAGAACCTTGGTGAGTGGCTCATTGTGTCAGATTTCTTAAGAAAAAGTGGTAGGTTTCAATAAAGCCCTAATCACAACCCGCCGTGCGTGCTTTTTGGGAGGCTACCTCTGCTACGTTTTCTCTGAAAACGTGGGGAAGGAGTGGCATTGACGCACGTCACTCGCACGTTTGTGCAAGGTGTAAATGTGTGGTCTGCACGCCATGTCTGGCCGTGAGCGGTTGCGTGCTTCATTCGTTGCGCAAGTGGTAAGTGAGTTGTACGTGCCTACGATCTCTGTGCGACTGCAACTTTACCATAAGGATGTCGTACTCACACGTGCTTCTTCCGTATGGTAGGTACGGGGCACGCGCGTCGCTCGTACTCGCACGCATGGGTGGTGAATCCGCAGACCGCACGCAGAAAAAGTTTTACATGCACTTAAAGTTCTACGCCGTGTCTGCGTGCTCCCAAATCCGTAGGATTCTGTACGGAGGTGGTACTCACCACGCACGGATCCTCTACGTTTGCCCACATTTTTGCACATAGACAGCACGCAGAAGCACGTACGGCGGGTTGTGACCAAGGCTTAAGATATGAATTCGAAGAACCAAATCTTGATGAAACTGCTCTTGGTGATGTAATATTGTAGTTTGTGCAAGTGTTGGTGTATGATCTTGCAAATCTCATTTATGCCAATGTACATGTAAGACAATACAGTTGAGCATGTCATTGAGTTCCCTGAATCTGAATAATATCTGAATTACGATGATACTAAAAATGAAACCAAACATCAATGATAATTATTATTATGCCATGATTATCATTTTCAGGTGGGAATTCCAAGACCGCTATGATTGCTGCTCTTAGTCCAGCTGATATTAACTATGAAGAAACGCTGAGTACACTAAGGTAAGGTCAAGTTACCGAAACCATTAAAAACATGGAAAGAACTGTACAAACAATCATGATGGTAAAATTAAAGTAATCACAATCACTAGTGTGCATGCAGGGCTGAGTTTTATAATTGTGCCCTGTAGCTGTACAGGTTTCGGTATTATAATACTATAGATAGATACATGTAGGGTCTCAAGAGGCAAAAGATTGTAATGGACACTTCAGCATGAACCATGAAGCACCACACAATAATTAGCATGCTAGTCTTGAAGCAAGTACCATTTTCAGCCACCTTCATGAATGTAGATACCTGTAGGAGAGGAAAGATCATGACATAGGTTTATTGTTATGGAAGCCTTCAAGCATAGATGCTGATCTCTTGCACCTAGGTAACCAGGATGGCTTGACATCCGAGTTAGAAAACTGCTCAGGATAACATTACAGACAGATTTATCTTGCCAAAATCTCGTCTGGGATTGAAGTAAATGATGTGCTTGTGCGTCAGTCGGAGGCACCGTTGAAACTTTCATGATGTTAGAGCTAGAAATAGTTCAACCTATACAAGATACAAATCATCTCAAATTACTTTCTTAGAACTTGATTTTCTTATAACAAGTTGAAGGTTATCTTTTTTTTTAGCATAAATACATGTAAAGCTATCTTTGCCATTTGCAGGATTTTTGTGGGACAAAAAATATTTACACTGTTAGTGCTATAATTAATGATAATTTTACAAAAATTATGCTTGGTCAAAATTTGACATCATCACTCTGTTTATCATGTTAAAGATATGGAAGTTGTCCAACCTTTCAATCTTATTGCTCCTCCAGAACATACATGTACTAGCTATTCCAACAATTAAGGCTTTGCTTTTATCAGAACATTTTTGGGTGAAGCTTTTTTATGAAGAATATGTCCGACTGTCAATTCTTTGAAATGCTTGTCTTTCTTTTTTCGTATTAAATATTCTGGATAGCCTCAAGGCATATATTTGTACTGTAGTGCTCTAATAAGGCCACAGCAAGTAATTTTTATGGATGACATCAGCGTGCGCATTCATTTTCGGCTGATTTTAGAAAAAAAAAACAAGAAATTCTGTTGCCTTCTGACAGTGGTCAACATGCCAAAACTTGGTAAAGATCTGTTGCCATGCTGGAAGGTGGATGGCAGATAACTATGAAGAGAGGAGACAGGAAAAGGCTCTGATTTAATGTTTTGTTTCTTACTTTGATGCAGTGATATGGGACACTGGCTATATGTGATGTTCCTATATATACTGAATCAAAACTATTTGTACAATGATTGAGTCAAAATTTTAAATTGTAGGAACCTTGTTTTTTTCGGCCCGCCTTGTTTTTTTTTTTGTCCCGCTTGCATTAGATTTAGAATCTGTGGAGGATGTCATCCATAAAATTTACTTGCTGTGGCCTAATGATTATTTCTGAATCAATGTTAGATATGCCGACCGTGCCAAGCAGATTGTGTGCAAGGCAGTAGTAAACGAAGACCCCAACGCCCGACTGATCCGCGAGCTGAAGGAGGAAGTCTTCCGTCTCAAGGAACTTCTCAAGTCAGAAGGACTAGCAGAACTTGTGGATTGTAAGTTCTGGGATGCACCATGTCATAAAGGACATATGAAATTGAACTTTTTTTTTTACTTAGTAATACTAATAATATTGTTCAAGAATGTGTAGGTGCATGATAGAAAAAAATTAAAGACTTTGAACCAATTCATGTACATGTAGCTGAAGCTTTTATGTACATGTACAACAGCTTGCCGTCATTGCTTGGTACATTGTATTATTGCCATTTTCAGTAATGTTTCTGCTGACAGGTCTTTAGGCCACACCAATTTAATTTGTTGGTTCTCGGATTCGCCTCTTCATTTTTTTCTGATTTGCAAAAAAAAAAAAAATTGATTCTGGTCCTGAATCAACTGAAAAATGCTCATGTTTTGCCCCCCAACAGTTGAGGAAAGTCCTTTTCTTCCTAGTTATTACAGTTTTCCCATCTATCATTGCAGTGGTTTGATTAAAAGTTCAAAATTCAAGGTTTAAATTTTAACCCAGCCTTTTGTGTTGACTTCATGGCTCATTTTGTAGCATTTAAGCCTATAATAGGATGCCTAGACCTGTTTTTATTTTTATTTTTTTTCGCCCTGTCGCTTCATATTTTTTCTGAAAAAATCCGAGAACCAACAAATTAAATTGGTGTGGCCTTATGATAGCTTGGATTAGTCAAATGCCCTTAAATTATCTTTAGATGTGATATACTTGTTGAATGATAGTGGCTTTTGAAGCTTAAAAGGCTTGGCAAGCTGGTTTACCTAAATTTATGACTTATGAATTAGTTTTTTAATCAAATTCTAAATGATACTTAAGCCACAGAACACAACTCACTCTACAAAGGTAAGTAGAATGGCTGATGGCTGGTTTCCTGTATAATTAGGAGAAAGCCAACTGAAGCTGACTGGATGCCTGTCCACTGGCACTTCTGTTGCAAGGTTTACTGTTATTTGACAGCCAGTTTTCACTAGAACTTACCTATGCCCTCTTCCAGCATTCACATGAACATATCTATTAGGTATCCTTGCATAACCCCAAAATTTCTTTGCACCATCAGTTTTTATTTCTTCAGCAACACCTCTTCCAAGCATTCTGTTTTTATTTTATGTTATAGCTTTCCTATATTATCCTGTTTTTAAGTTTGCGAGCACTGGCTTTGCAGTTGCTTAAGCTGCCGCCTCATTGGAACCCTAGTCTCACCTCCTCACATGTTGACATATATGCCCTCTTTATCTCCAAATGCCTCCTTTCCTCTAAGCTATGTATACAAAATCGGATGGATCCACTCCCTTGTTGTCACCGACAGATGAGCTCAATGCCAACGTTCCTAACAAGAATCTGCAGCTCCAACCTCACAACCTTAATGGTATGGTCTTTTCTGTCTTCTTACTGTGTGATGGTGCCTTATTTTATTCCACTAACATTACATGTAAATGGCAAGTAACAACAGTCCAAACTCCAAAACCAAAATTTGTATTGTAAAATGTGCTACAATGAGCATTTATTTTCACATTGCTAAGAAACAGCATGAACTGTAACTCTTAAGGATTGCTTCATTCCAATTTTAAAGTTTAAAATATTCACTTGTTTTAGAAGAGAATAGAAAGCTTGGCAAGATTGTCAAATGTTGCTCCTTGATACTGCAGAAATTGGCAAGTTTTCATATGTTGCATGAAAAAAATTGCTTCATGTAAATGTCTAGACCTACATGTACATGTAGCAAAGTGAGTGCTAGCATTAAGTTCATTTCACTGAAACTACTCATAGAACTTGAATTATTACAAGAACACAATGAATGCCATCTTCTATAATGCCTGAGCTTCTCTAAAATTTCAAATGGACTAGATTCTAGTAGTCTCTGTTGCACTGTAACTAACCAACTAACATCACTAAAATTGGGCATGATATGATCTCCAAGTACTAACAAAGGTGCCACCATTTCCTATGAGTTACCTCTACAAACATTACACACAAAGATCACACCCATTCAGTTTACCTACATCAACAACATACAAACATATCCATGTGCACAGGCAGTAGTAGGAATCTCCTGGAATCCTCAATAACCTGAAATTTTGGGGAATATAGACATACATCGTATATATGAAGCATCGTAAGTTTCTTGAAAAAAAAATGTCACATTTTTCGAAAATCACTTGGAGGTCTCCAAGATGTTTTGGAGCACCTGGAGTGGTCACTGTGGTCCATGTACATTTGTAACACATTGTGTGTGACTGTATTTCCTAGGTCCTGCCAGTCCCAGTGATGGTGGGCAGAGGATTATGACCCCCAGGAATGAGGATGCTATGGAGCAATTAAGGGTATGTTTATCATGTTTACCGAAGGATTGTTTTTGCTCAGTTTCTTCTTCTTCCATTCCAAACACTGACCACTGACCTGGCCAATGACCTGATTTGTTGACATCTATCACCATGGTAACTGGTATTGGGTTACAAAATGTTGCAACTTTATAGTAGGAGGGATTTATACTCCTGTCTGATTTTCTTCTGCTTTGTTGTGCCATACACATGACTTGTACACAATAGCTCACTAAGTTGACTGTGGATCAGCAGTTCGCCTTTTATTGCCATGCTGTATTTCTACAAAAGTGTCAAATTATTTAAATTATTGATTCAGAAGTTGAATTTATGTACACTATTGATATTTCGTAAAAAAAAAACCTATCTGTAGGAATCAGTCAAAGAAAACTGTATTTTTTTTATCCGTAGGCATCAGAGAAGCTGATTGCAGAGCTGAATGAAACGTGGGAGGAAAAACTGAAGAAGACAGAGCTAGTGAAGCAGGAGAGGTTAGTATTTAACCTTTGTGTTGGTTACGAGATTAGGCTGCACAAAGAAGGCTATATAAAACAGAATCTTCTAGACTGAGTTGTGGATTTGGAAGGGTTTATAAGTTGTCTACCTTCTGAATCTCATCATAAACTGCTTTGTCTTGAAATTCCATTTTCCATCTTGTGATCAATTTATGTCTCGTGTAACTGAAGAACTAGATGGAGGGAAATTGTCGGTGGCCTATGCTCCACACGGGGCCAAGGGCCCAGGTAAGGTAAGGTAACTAAAGAAGGTTGCATTAAATGTCTTGTGTTGTCTTACAGAGAGGCTGCTTTAGCAGAGCTTGGTGTGGCATTGGATGGTACTGGCACTACAATTGGAGTGTGCTCTCCCAAAAATGTAAGTAACAGTACTAGATCTTGAATCAAACCCCACATTTTAAAGTTTAAAAATTAAAAACTTGGGGATTCCAAATTTAAGAATGAGTATAATTTGATGCCAACTACATCCAGTACTAAATGTGGGACTCATATAACATATAAAGTTAGAAATAATTTTTACACAACTGTACAAATATTAGCTGGTGTTAGCTGTCCTTTTAGACAGGATTTAACATTGCATAACGGTTACCAAGATTGCAAAAGAGTGCTCTAATAGACTGGCATTATTATTGCACAGTAAATATAACTGCCCCATTTTTTCCCCACTTCACCCAGACCCCACACTTGGTGAACCTTAATGAGGACCCCCTGATGTCTGAATGCCTGCTGTATTACATCAAACCAGGAATCATGAAGTGAGTCATTACCACACATGTACATGTACAGGCTCCAGCCAAGTCCCCTGCTGTTATATATATTGGCAATTGAGACACCCAGTACTTAACTGTGTGTGGCTGTGGTTTCACAGCTGTGTATGATGGCATGTGGGTTCTGCCTGGATGAATTTTATTCAAATCTTCATATTTCAAACCTCTGTCTCTGAGATTTAGCATAAGCAATAAGATTTGTAAAATTATTTAAGCCTTATAATTTGTACAGTTAAGTTTGTAAAATCCTTTTACTGAATTTGATCCAAAAACTTGCAATAAAATGTTGCACCAGGTCAGGAAATTTGAGAATTTACAAATGTAAAGAATGCAGGGGAAAATTATTAATCATTGCTGTCCCTTGTTTTCTTTGACATTTAGAACTGTGACATGCCAGATTCCTACAGCACTGCACATGTAATGATGAATGAACCAACAATGTTGTATAATTATATACATGCAGAAGTTGTTTCATGTGTCAGTTGTTTTTTTTTTACACAGAATCAAGAGAAAGTCACATTTTCAAAACGTCCATGATTTAACTTACTATATATAATTAGATTTTTTCAGTTTTCTGCATGTTGACTGTTATGTGTTTCAAAAAGATCCATTTAAAACCAAAATAGCATCTGAAGCAAGGCCATTTGTGCAATGCTGAAGTGCTAATGGCCAAGATGTAACTCAATCCATACACCCCACTTGCAACATGATGTACAAATGTATCATCTTCCAAACTTGCAGTAAACTTAGAGTTAGGAGACTTAGTAAACTCTAGATTAAACGTTGACCTCTTGAACAGGGTTTGCAGTTACAAATTTTAATGTATGTGACTAGTATAGAGGATATAATGACAACAGCTGATAATTTGTAATCAATGTTGAAGATTAATGTATGAAAACTTATTTAGCCCAGAGTCATTTTTGGCATTCTTTGGAACAAATTTGTCATGATTCGTGTCATGTAAGGTTCACCATGACAGGCCTGCAAAGGGCAATTTGTCATGACAAGTTCTAGCATACAATCAGTGTGCTTCCAGTACGTTTGAAAAATGCCTTTGTTCGTTATTATTGCACTCTTTAGACTCCATTCATTTTCCAACAAAAGAATGGTTAAGACAAGCCATAAGTTATATGAAGAAAGTTGCAGTAGTATAGGTAGTCACTGTGGAAAAATATTGTCAGAAATAAGCTGTCGTAGACTGACCAAGACACAAAATGTTTTAATTCAAGACAGTAAAAGAAACTGTTTGCATTTCAAGGTGGGCTCCACACATGAAGACATTATCCTTTCAGCTTTTTGTCCATTATTCTTCCACTGTTTAGTCTGTCTCAGTTCATTTTGCAACAAAATAACAGCTAAGATACATGTTTGTAAGTCATAATTTACATGTGTATGTAGTGTACAACAATGTTGCAGTAGTATAGATAGCTGTAGTCACTGTCAGACATAAGCTGTAAAAAAAAACAGTAAAGAAACTGTGCGTTTCAGGGTGGGCTCCACACATGCAGACATTATCCTGAGTGGACCACACATCCGCGATCATCACTGTACCTTTGAGAGCAGAGAAAAGAATGGAGAAAGTGAGTTCTGTAGTCTGTAGCATGAACGGTAACATGATGATTGAATATTCTTGAAAAGGAATATGCTGTAACATCACTTGCCATCAATCATATTGGAAACAAAATGCAATAATCTTCAGTTTTTGCTGAACTTTATGGTAGAAATTGAAAAAAAATGTAATAAAAAAAAGCTTGATGTAGAGTTGTATTACAATGTAGTCAAATATGTGTCTTTATTTTTAAGTTAAACTTATTGTTTTTTCCCTGCAGTTATTGTTACTGTGACTCCAGAGAAGGGTGCAACTATATTTGTCAATGGAAAAACTGTTGAAGGACCGCTACTTCTCAAAACAGGTATTTTTGACTAGACAGACAACACGATTTTTAACACTTGACATCATTTGGATATTACAGCAGTTTCACACATGTACTGTAACAGTGTTTTGCCATATTATAAAGTCTACGTTCTAATGCAATTGGGGTTTCCAAGAAACTTCTACTTTGTGTTGTTAATCGTGATTTGTGTTTTTGAAGGACACCGTGTTATCCTGGGGAAAAACCATGTCTTCCGGTTTAACCATCCAGAGCAAGGTACCCAATAGAATTTAAAAGTTTCCGCACGCATATGAAAGCATGATAAGGGGACTGTTGGTATGCTAGCAAATTGAATACCTTCTGTATCATTATACTGTGAATATTATAATATTGTGGTTTGTTGAGAAGTAACATGTAGACTCTAAGTTTTAGAATACACTTGTGACATTATACATTTTTTTGTAGTTGAGTTATTTTGTGGTTGACTACCAGACTAATTATTGTGTTTCTTGCGAATGTAACCATAACTTTGCTCTTTTTTCAGCTCGTCAAGAAAGAGAGAAGACACCATCAGCGGAAACTCCAGGTACAGTTGATGCACAATGTAGGTACTTTTGAAAACTAGTTACTGTGTGTTTTTACATAACCATGGGATAAGCTTGTTAAAGTTCAGACACATGTACGATACAGTGTTCTAGCCAGCATCCATGCCCAATTCGTCATCTTTCACGGACAAAAATTGGTGTGCAAAGATATTGAAGGACATAGCATTAGGTGTCAAACAAAATTGAGTTGACAGAAAAAATGTCAAGCTGGCTAGAACACTGCATAGATATTTAATTTTTTAGCAACTACATGTACACTCACGTCTGTCATACATGTATGCAACTTGTTTTCATTGATGTTGCAGCTTCTAATTTATGATACATCATGCAACTGGTCATGACATTGCAAACTGGTAAAGTTTTCAAAGCTTCAAACAGACTGCTTCATTATAAGCTTCATCCTCTGCCCACGTTTGTGCTGTTCTTCATGATTGACTCCTAAATGAGTAAAAAGTGTGTTTCTAACAAGTTGTAATAACATTGCTGCAGTGGGAGAACCTGTGGACTGGACCTTTGCCCAGATGGAGTTGTTGGAAAAGCAAGGCATCGACATGAAACTGGAGATGGAGAAACGGTTAGTCCAACAAGTAGACTTAAAAATCAACTGTCATGTTTTTAACTTTAAAGTGCAGTTGTAGCACATGTAAACTAGTATATCTACATGTTAGTTTCCTCAAAATTGCTGCCTCTCTAGCTCTGAACTGGTCTGTTATAATATGTACTGTAATTATTCACTTTTTATGTTCACTGTAGGAAAAATTCTGTGAAAGTGGAGTTCTTCATTCAACAGTTACTACATGTTCACAGTGGCAGCAAAAAAAGAAAATTGGCAAATTACTTAATTTTGTTGATGGTTATTGAATGATGTAAGTTTGCGGTACAGAAGTGACCACAAAAACTGCAAAGTTAGCATAAAAGTACTGTGAGAAAACCAGGCATTACAGTAACCTCTAACCATAGTACGTCATCAAATGTTTCCTGACAGATTGCTAGCGATGGAGGAACAGTACCGAAGAGAGAAGGAAGAGGCTGACCAGCTTTTGGAGCAGCAACGACTGGTATGGCCACCCACCCCTCACTTGCACAATCACCCAACCAACCACAGTTCAGCGCGTAGCCATGCACGTCGGTCAGCCCTTAAAACTTATAAAATTATCATGGTCTCTTTTTTTGGTACAGAAAGGCTGCAACCCAGAAATGTACATTTTTCTTCTGAATTTTTATGGTCTTACAGTCATAAAACATCCAAACAGAGTTTGGAGAATTAATTATCCTAGAAAAGATGACAGGAATTTTGATCAGGATGCACACCAATACAGATATATACCATTGAGCTGAAGAGGTCCACAGTTAAGCTATGAAACAATTTTTGGAACTCTCTATCCACATTTTGGCACTTTGAAGTCAAGAAAGATGGAAGTCTGCCTGCCATGTTGCCTGCTAAGATCGTTCAGGACATCGTGTTTTGAGATTTTCACATTTTAAATGAGCGGAGTGAGGGTCTGGCCGTCGGCATGGGAAAACGAGCCAATGCCACGGGTAAGATGCACACTGTTGTCTTCTCCTTGTGTCGTTAATTTTTCCTTCCAAATCTGGCTGGACATGCACTCACCAATCAGATCAACCCCTGGGGAAATCAGAAACCAGGCAAAATTGACCGAATCACTTGGTTACGCACTGAACTGAATGAAGACGTAAAATGAGTCTGGCGCTGCGACAGCGTTGTTTCACAGTGACTGAAATAAGTCTCTGTTCTGTTGCTGTTATGCACCGTGTGAAGCTTTTGTCACACTTAACCTCAAGCTGAGCATCAGTTTACTAACTCCACAGTCTTTCCCCTGCAAATTTCAATATTAGATGTTTGTAGTGTTTAACTAAATACAGTAGTAACATAATTTTAAAGAATCGATTCATCAGAATTAGATGTGTTAGCACTAACTTAATGCAAGAAGTCTTTGCGACAAAGGCTGCGAGATTTTTAATCCCAAAAACATGAGATTGGAAATTCCTCAGAGGTGACTCTGATGTGCTGATGCATTCCACCAGTAATTTTCTTTTCCGCTTCATCTAATTTCTTTCCACGTCTATTTGATTCATATATTTTCTGTGCCGTGTGTGCTTTACGTCTTTGATTTATATAGAATTTTTTCTTTTCTGTTCTTTTTTTGGTTTGACTTGAAATGGAGAAGGACGATGAGACCATGTCAGAAGAAGAGACAGAGAGTGAAAAGCGCTCCTGTGAGGAAAGCTGGAAGCTGATCAGTTCCCTGAGAGAGAAAGTTTCCCCCGTCAAACTACAGTCCATCGTGAAGAAGTGCGGTTTGCCCAGCGACGGACGCGAGAGGAAGAGAAAGGAGAAGCCGTCCATGCCGTTATACCAGATCCCCGAGAGGCGGAAGCTGAATCGTCAGGACGTGAAGTGGCTCACCATGGCCGACCTCAAGGTGCAAGCCGTAAAAGAGATCTGTTACGAGGTGGCCCTGAACGACTTTAAGCACACACGACAGGAGATTGAAGCCATGTCGATAGTTAAGATGAAGGAACTGTGTCGACTCTACAACAAGAAGGACACGAATGCAACCGAGTCATGGAAATCGGTAGCCCGCGACGTGTGGGAAACGGTGGGAGTCGGGGATCCTCCCAGCCACGGACATCATCCAGAAGTAGACGAGAGGAGCAAGACAGATATGGAGGAGCTGAAGCACAACGTCACCGCGCTAACCTGCATGATCCACGAGTTCAAAAAGGTCAACGAAGCCAAAGAAGCCGAGATCACTAACCTGCGATGCAAACTGGAGAAAATGGAGCTATACGTTTCACCGGAAGCAGAGGCGTCGATTAAGCGGATGAAAGGGGCGGAGGCCGCGGAGGCCCCGCCGCAGCCCCAACCCATGGAGTACAGCCCGTCCTCTCCTCCTCAACAACATGAGCCCGTCATGCGACACAGTCACTCCACCTCTGATCTCTCAAGAGAGGAGCGCATTCAGAGGCTGATGGATGAAGATCCGGCCTTCCGGCGCGGCCGCTTGCGCTGGCTGCGGCAGGAGCAGCAACGCCAGCAGCAGCTGAAGATGGCCAAGGAGCGTAGCCAGCTGCGCATGACCGGAAAGTACCCACAGCAGCAACAACAGCAGCAGCAACAGCAGCAGCAGCAGCAACAACGATACCAGCAGCAAGGCTACAACTTCAGCCAGAACTTTAACAAGAACAAGGATCCTCAAGTCAAGCTGCGATTCCCCTTCCGAGCTGGCCAGCAACAGTCTTCCAGTGGCCGCGGCCGTAGCCTCAGCTTTGGCTCCAGCTCCAGTGCAGAAAGCCCCAATCAAGCCTTCCAGTTTGGTGCTATGGACAAGGATAAAGCTTGTCACTATTCCATGTTGAACATGTCTATGACGTCAGAACAAGAAGCAGCCGGTTTAAGGGAGAATCCGCCAACAACAGAAGAAGTCCCACCTGCCGACAGAAGGGGTTCTGAAGCAGCAACAAAGCCACAAGAAGTTGCCATGTGACACTTGTAACTTCCAACTATATATCAACTGTATTCATGCAAGATACATGTAACACTTGAACCTTAAAAATTCTCACAAAAATGATAAACCTTTTTAGAAGATGATTGTGATATCGATGGAAAGCTAACATATACCACCATTGCGGAAGGCTTGAAATCTAGTTTGCACTCAATATTTAAAAACATTTTATACATGATAGGTGGAGACTTGTTTTTTAGACTGGTAAACATTATCTTTGACAATATGTTTGAAGCAGTCACATAATTATTATTAACCATGACATTTGGGAACAACATTTTGGTCACAAAGTTTGAGAAAATTACAGAAGTTTGGAAAACCTGTTAACATTAATCAAGAAAATTTGAAGAAAAAAAATGTAAATGATTAAAAAAAGAAAAATTTTTAGTAACAGCAACATTATTTTTTCAGAATAGAAATTGTCTGCTGGAACAGTTAAGCTCACTGTCCAAATTGTTTGTTCGGTTTGAATTAATTACAAAGCTTTTTTGAGAAATGAAAATTGAGATAAGCATAAAGAAAGCACAAATAAAAAAACACATTGAACCATGACAAAAAAATTGCATAATCTCTCAAAATGAATACAAAAGTGTCGAAATTATTAATCTAGATATGTTATGAAATACAATAGTTGCCATTTGAAGATTTTAAATGTGGAAAAAAGGATTGAATGAAAGCTGAAAGAAACTAAAATGAAGAAGTTGAAAGGATGATGAGAGAGGGACAAAGACTGCTTTTATTCATTGCGCAGATGTTGCAACTGTATACATGTAAACTCAGTAGCTTGCTTAGATGATGTGTACATTTGTATTGTGTGTACATTGCAGATCACATTGAGTGTAATGTTACAAACACTGTACCTTTGATTGCAGAATTGCTATAATACAATGTAGCACTGTACAATATACTAACATTGCATATCCAGGCCAAGTGAAATGAAAGTACATGTCATACATGTACTAATGTGCCAAATCACTTTTTGCAAAACTTGAGTCTTCCATGTTTTGTACAATACAGAAACTACACAACCGTTAAGGGACAGTAGTGCCTTTCTATTTTATAGACACTAAGTGCCTTAGTGTATGATCACTCATATTAATGATGCCAATGTTTAGAAGATTGAATGTGGAATTCTTTACACAAAGACTTTGAAGCAGACTTCTCAATACAAAGTTTAGAATTGAACTCTTCTCAACACGTTTTATAGTGTTTGATACACCTTTAAGAAAGCTTTCTAGTAAGTTATGGCTACATGTAGCTTTGCTATATTTAACAATTTTCTACCAACACTCACACATATAATTTATGAACAATTGTCTATGTATCTACTAGTTAGTTGTATTCTAATGTGCCTTGTTTTGAGAGACATTTTGAAAAAAAAGTAGATTTTACACTGTTTTATATCATAAAAAGACAGACTGGTAAAACATGAGGTACAGCAATGTTCTCAAGTCTTCCAAAATGCTTTGGTTTGATACTCTGATGTGTGAAACTTTATCTTGAAACATGTGCCTGAAATTTTGGAAATCTTTAGAAAATGAAATTTAGGAAAAAGAATTCAACAACTGTAGAAAGTAGCTAACTTTTGTGCGGCAAAATGGTGGTTTGAAAAGACGTCGCAGAATTTGATCCAAGCAAGTTGTGATGAAAACAATGATTTCTGAATACATCACACGTATACCGCCTGTGGGTTTTTGTCTTGTTTCTTGTGTCTTTTCTTTCTTTTCAATACCTTTTATGATATATGTAGTAAAATGAAAAGATTTTTATTATTGGTATGCATCGGTGCATCAGACATACAAGAGAGTTCATACCTACAGTTGCATGCAACTATCAGATTTTAAAAGCATTAAATCTTATAGGAGAAAGCTTTCACTCTGCAACAAGATTTCTATGATTATTTCTTGTATCTGTTTGGCATACATCTACACATCTGCATTGTCATCATTTGAAATATGATATTCCTTTCAGTTAAAAACCATACCAAAAGAAAAATTCAGTGTACACACAGCTCTAATTATATAGTAAAAGTGGAAAAATGTAAACATACATGCCATATTAGTCTGAAATGGGGTATTGGAATTTTGTTAAACAATACGTCCTATCAATATATAGATAAAAGTATTGTTTCATCAAGTACTAATTCATCAGAAGGATTTAGAAAAAATTATATATATGATAAGTAAACAATAGGTCTATACAGGCCAACCAACTAAAACATAAGATGCAAAAAAAAATGAGAACACTCTGAACTTAGCCTTACTTGTTGATGGCAGGTCATGATTACTGACGTATTTGTGATGTTTACTATATGTATGATAAGGTTTGTAATAATTATGCTCAGAGATTAGAGATCTAGAAAGTGATTGGTGACTTCATTAACAGTGCCCCCCCCCCCAAAAAATCACCTTAAAGTGAAGTGTGAGACAATCCTATTCAATATATACCACCTTATAAATGAGCACTAAAAAACCCTCCTCTTCTGCAGGATTATGAGAGTAAGCTGCAGGCCCTGCAGAGCCAAGTGGAACGTGCCAGTCTGCTGTCAGGATGCACCACTCCAGAGTATAGTACTGACGATGAACAAGGAGAGAGTGAGTTTATTTTACAGAAAACATAATGTTCTGAACAGTTCTGAAAAGTCAACACCATTCTCCACAAAGAGAGAAGTTCAGTTCCTCTTCAGTAGGTGAAGGTAACATCTGTGTCCATAATATCACCAGGGTCCATAATATCGCCACCTTAAGAAATAGTGCACTTAAATATATTTTTACTGCAACATACCCTAGGTATGTACATTTGATGTGTGAAGGAGTGCATACCAAAAGTATGTTGTAGTAAAAATATCTTTAAGCACACTGTTTCTCAAGGGACCCTGGTGATATTATGAACACAGATGTTATACTGTCATTCATCTTTATTCTGGGAAAAATGTACTGATACACAATTGTATACACCTTTGTGCCTTTAATGCCTTCACTGGGCCAGTAAAAGAAGAAGTTAAATGTACACCTTTACTAATGTCAGTTAAATCATCTATCATCTTTAAAGACTCATCATTTCTGTCTGCCATGAAGTTGCATACGCACATTAAAAGAATATGTTTATGCCTGTAATTATACAGTTGAACCATCCTGGACAGAGAAGGAGTACCAGCTAGCACAGTGGGCATTTATCAAGTGGAGATATCACCAGTTCACATCGCTCAGGGTAGGTAAACACTGTTTGCAAATGGTCATATAGTACTGTCAGTAGAAAATAGATTTGACAAGATCTTATTGTTGAGATAGGGTATGATATATTTCACTTGTTTGTTCAATGCTTTTAAAAAAATGATCCCAACATCATAGTTGGATGTCACTTTCCTTGGTGCTGAAAACATAGGTGTTTCCAACTATTCATTGGAGATAGTGAAATGTTTGAATTTTAACTTTCAGGCTCTATGCAGGCTAGAACCCCAAGGTGTACAGTATTGGTGTATCATCTTTTTTATTGTTTCTTACCTCCAGGATGATCTGTGGGGAAATGCAATTTTCCTCAAGGAGGCAAATGCCATCAGTGTGGAGCTAAAGAAAAAGGTGAGGATGACAGGTCTTGCTTTTTCCAGACCTCTCTAGAAAAATCTCTTAATAGAATTTTTCCCAGTTTGTGGAAATGTTTCGAAATCTTTGAAAATGACTTGTATGACTCCTAAATGTTTCCTACATGACTTCTAAATGTTTCCTAAATGACTCCTAAATGTTTTATAATTGAATCCTAAATGTGTCCTAAATGACACCTGAATGTTTCTCCCCAGGTCCAGTTCCAGTTTGTTCTGCTGACTGACACCATGTACTCCCCGCTGCCCCCTGACCTGATGCCCCCAGACGTGGCGTCGGACCAGCCCTACCCTCGCACTATCGTAGCTGTGGAGGTCCACGACCTCAAGAACGGTGCCACTCACTACTGGACACTGGATAAACTCAGGTACACTTCAATTTACTCAATGCTTTCTTAAGCCCTCTCTTAAGGAGGTCGTACTTACACATGCTTCTTACATACGGCACGTACGGGGAACGCGCGTCGCCCATACTGGCACATACGGGTGGTGAATCCGCAGACCGCACGTAGAATAAGTTTTGCATGCACTTAAAGTTCTACGGCGTGTCTGCGTGCTCCCAAATCCGTAGATTCTGTACGGAGGCGGTACTCACCACGCACGGATGCCCTACGTTTGCCCACGTTTTTGCACGTAGACAGCACGCAGAAGCACGTACGGCGGGTTGTGACCAAGGTTTTAGGCTGTAGGCACAGTGAATTATTAGTTCACTGTCTAGGGCACGGTATTGGAAGACTGAGCCCAGCCCTCTGCTTGCGCTGCTTTTTACCTTCCTAACCAAAGTTAGGTACCCATTTTACACATGAAGGAGTGAGGGGAAAGCTGTGTAAAGTGTCTTTATTAAGAGCTCAATATCTAGCCAAGAATTCCAGGGATTGAATCTTGTGTTTGCTAGCCTAGTCACTAAGCCATTTGACGCCACGCAACTCACACTCACTCACTCACTCACACTCACTCACTCACTCACTCACTCACTCACTCACTCACTCACTCACTCACTCACTCACTCACTCACTCACTCACTCACTCACTCACTCACTCTATCCAGGCTATGATTAACTCACTCATTTAAAAATTCCTATATTGAGCTTAAAAGCATGATAGATTTAGTATCATTTAGTATTTAATCTGAGAAAAACTTTTGTTGATTCCACTATGTTTTGTTTGTGGAGCAGACAGCGGCTTGAGTTGATGAGAGAAATGTACGACAGTACAGCGGAGATGACCACCACTTCCGCCGCCGACTGCCCGGTGGAGAGTCTGACCGGTGGTGACCCTTTCTACGACAGGTTCCCCTGGTTTCGCCTTGTTGGAAGGTTGGATCCTTTTCCTAAATTTCCTAAACGTATAGTCATTTAGAAAAGTACATGTATGTAATCATTGGCTTTTAGGAACATCATGGGAGCATTGCAATGCATGTAATGCACAGCAAAAGACAACAGCATCTAAGTATTACTATTAGATAAGAATCATCCTCCATTTTTCATACCACATGCATAACTTGGAATGGCTTCTTTTTTCTTTTCAATTTGATAGTTATTGTACAATTGCATGTTTTGATCCAATAGGTTAAATGCTATAGATGCACCCACTCTCACATAGTGTATGTACCTGTTTAATCCTAGAATGCCCACTTAACATAAACTCCAAAATATTTATTTACCATACAAAACTAAAGAAAAAGTAGGTTGATCACCCATAGGGGATATTAAAGGTTCTGCTGGAAAAATATTTGCCTAAATATCCAAAGAAATATAAAACTGTATTTCAAAAGTGTATGTTTGATGCCATCTCTCTCCTTTGTCTGTGCATGACATGTACCTGTACCTCACGATCAGGACATCCCTTTATCTAAGTCTGTATCTACCATGTGTATCACTTAAGCCATGTTTTACAACTGTCTGCCTAGCAGTGGAACCCCCTTGTCAGCCTGTCTTCCCGATGACAGGACCCGTTCCCCCACCACACCGCCTGGACTGCCCCCAAACCCCCCCGAACCCACCCCCACCCCCTCCCCCACCCCCTCCCCCCTCATCACTGCCGACAACCAGGCCTTTTACGATTCGGACAACTCGGATAGTCAGTCCTCCTACTCTGTGACCACAAGTACCCTGCAGCAAAGTCTACCTCCTAGCTATGACGTCGTGGATAGCAGGAAAAGCCCCGTGCCTCGCCATTCCCGCGACAGTTGCGAGGACAGTGATACTGACTGTGCGAGCTTGCCGTCAGACGATTGCGAAGACCTAAAGATCCCGAGCATGGACCCCTTCACCGACCCGGTGTCGTGGTTCTGTTTGGTGGGCAGGTTGGTGGAGATGGCAGCCGGCTAGAGCATGTCAAGCAGTGTGCCTTCTTCTGCCTACATGTGTACATGTCATTTTCTTTCCGTTTTTACTCCTTTCCTTTTAATCTGACTGGGTTTCCTAGTTTGGTTGTTGTGTCGTGATGCTAGTGTGTGGTCGTACAGTGGTGTCAGATGAATATATTATGCTGATATATTTTGGTTTCATCTACATACAAGGTTTGAGCAGGTATTCCTTAGCTCATCTTACAGATGATGATGAGATCAGAGTCTGTAAGCAGATTATATTATCCTTAATTTTTACATCACAGCATTTTCACAGGTTTGTTTCAGGCAAGACTTCACTTCTGACCATTTCATGTCCTGCCAGGAATTCTTTTTTCACAAATCTTTTAGAGCCATGAGTTGGATCGAGATGCTACAAAAAATTCCTATGTATCTTCAAGTCAATAATTTTGCATCTGTTCACGAGAATGTCATATTTTCCAAAAAGATACATATGTCATCATCCTGATTGGTGGTTGTCATGAAGACTTATTTTTGAAACAATATTCTAAATTTATCGTGCAATCTAAATTCGTAGTACTTTTACGTTGTTTTAAGAATGGGATCTTGGGGCTGCAGGCTAAAGATTGTATTATCTTCTTTTGGCTGGGAAGAGTAATTTTTGAGTGTTTGAGTGTCAGTGGGACAATAGAGATACAACTAGTTGTATAGCATGTAACATATACATTGTAGGTTGTTGAAATAACAACATGATATTGCTATCAATAACACTGCCACAACAACCATACTGAACAGCAGATGTGGAAAATTTTAATACACAAAGTTGAACCAGAATGTGCATGGAAATATGATGTTTAATGTAATGTTATCACATGTCCTTGGTACTGAATTATCAGTAGTTATTGTTGCATGCAACAGTATTGACAAATTGAATGTAAAATATTCTGACAAAACTGTAGTTGGCTTACAAGCTCTCTACTGTTCTACTATCATTAAATTGTTGTGCAAGTAGACATAGGTAGACTGCTTGGGGTTTGATAAAGCAGTGAATCCATAGAGGTTTTTGATTTAAATACTTTCTGACATTTTTGTAGTAGACCATACCAGTGTGGACAGGCAGAAGAAGGCACTTGACACTGCTTGTATGCATGTAGTCTACAATTTGGCACTAGATCCTTAATACATGGTGGTTAATACTACATTTGTACAGAGGTATATGAATGTGGTGACACTAGAAGAGACATGCCCAGACAAGAATTCTCTGCAATGTAGAGTACTGCTTTCTATTGCAATTGGACAGTGAGTAGCTACGTTTTCTACTCATGCTGCTTTCCCAGTCTATGTTTTTTTTCATATGCATGTTCACGATAATGGAATAATGATGCTCAAAATCATAGCACTCATTGCACATCTCAAATGGAAATCAGTACTCTCCAAGCTTGCCAATTCAGTCCTGTTGGGCAGTACATGTTTCCCTAGCTGACACTTTGTGCATTTCTCTTCTCCATTGCTAAGGATCTATTGCTTCCCCAGTGCGTCAAGCCTGATTGGCCTGAAGTACTCTTAGTGTTGAGCCATCTCCACTGACCTTTGTGTTACACCCATGTAGACTTCTGTGCCCATGTACTCTCCAAAGTACAATGTTGCTGCTATGTCCACACCATCAAAGTGTTATACCTTCCCCAAGTTAAAACTGGTGTGCTCTTGTACAACATTCGAACTCAGGTGAAACTAAAAGATGGACATTTTTCTGCTTGCTGACTCAACATCTTCAAAATGTTTTGGCTTTAGATAAGTTTGGAGACTAGCATCACTTGTCCCAAGAACACAACTGCCACTAATGTGCAGATTTCAGAAATATGTCCGTTTTAATCGAACATTTGTTTCAGAATTTCAGCATTTCATATTTCAGAGTATCATGGGACATAGGTCAATATGAGATGTACAGAAAGAAAAGGCGTATTTCCCTTACCCTTTTCTCTTTGTGGTCAAATTGTCCGTTTGAATTAAAACAAAAAAAGGTATCTTTTGTCCTTGATCTTTTCCTTTGTTGCCAAAAATGTCTTCTCCAAGTTCTTGGATCATGTTTATGACTAAGCTTTAGATTTCTATCTAAATGCATCTTTTGCCAGCAGCCCCCTATTTTTAAGATTTTCAAAACAAAAATATACCATCTCCAATTTTTTTTAACAGTATACATTCAGAAACACACTAAAATGGTATTCTTTTAAAAAGTCTTAAAAATGTATTTAAAAGACAGTGTAAAGTGAAATCCATCCATCCATATGTGTCTATCTAACCCATTCACCCCAGATTCATATCCATTCCATCGCTAGTTTTCTTTGACAGTTTGTTTATGTTATCTTGCACCAGTGTTGATGTTTATTCATCTGTGAAGTTGCCAGCAGTATAGGCTTCAATGTGACTAGTACTAGTATGCAACCAAGTCAATTGTTACAGTAACTGGAGACTGCATGTTATTTTAGTCATGTACACATGTCATTGTTTTAAGTAGAATCATCGGAAGTACAGTTTCATCCGTTCTCCGTACTTATTTGTGGATGGTGAAAACATTACATATTTATACTTAATCTTTGTTTTATCATCAAGATTTATTTGTTGGCATGCCCGTGACTGTGTGTTTCTGAAGTTAAAACCTCACCGACTACCTTCACATCTCAATGTATTGTAATAGTTTTCATCTACAAAAGTTGGAAAATTCTGCATAATTTATCCTAGCAATCCAAATAAGAGCTGATTCCAAATTTTAACAGTAAATCTGTTTCATGCCTTAAACTATCAGGTTCCTGTTTTTCCTCAAAGTTGCTAATGAACTTGCTACTTCCTATACAGCACAATACAAAATGTTTTTCTCTTCCCCCATACAGAGCGTTTGTGTACCTGAGTAACCTGCTGTACCCTGTGGGGATAGTCCACCGTGTGGCAGTGGTCAGTGAGAAGGGCGATGTGAGGGGGTGGCTACGAGTGGCTGTACAACATGTCACAGGTATGGGCATCAGAACCAGATACAGCTCTATGCGAAAATGTTGTTCAGTACCATGGACAGTGTTGGTACAATCAGCATTATCTGTATGAGTACCATTCAGTACCAAGACAGTGTTCTCAATGTGAATGTTATTCAGGACAGTATTGGTGTGAATGTCACTCAGTACCAAGGACAGTGTTAGTATGAATGTCATTCAGTACCAAGGACAGTGTCAGTGTGTTTTTCAGTACCAAGGACAGTGTCGGTGTGTTTTTCAGTACCAAGGACAATGTTGGTGTGGATTGCATTCAGTACCAAGGACAGTGTTAGTGTGGATGGCATTCAGTACCAAGGACAGTGTTAGTGTGGATGGCATTCAGTACCAAGGACAGTGTTAGTGTGGATGGTATTCAGTACCAAGGACAGTGTTGGTGTTGATGGCATTCAGTACCAAGGACAGTGTTGGTGGGGATTGCATTCAGTACCAAGGACAGTGTTGGTGTGGATAGCATTCAGTACCAAGGACAGTGTTAGTGTCGATTGCATTCAGTACCAAGGACAGTGTTGGTGTGGATGGCATTCAGTACCAAGGACAGTGTTGGTGTGGATGGCATTCAGTACCAAGGACAGTGTCGGTGTGGATGGCATTCAGTACCAAGGACAGTGTTGGTGTGGATGGCATTCAGTACCAAGGACAGTGTTGGTGTGGATGGCATTCAGTACCAAGGACAGTGTCGGTGTGTTTTTCAGGACTAAGGACAGTGTCAGTGTGTTTTTCAGTACCAAGGATAGTGTCAATGTGTTTTTCAGTACCAAGGATAGTGTCAATGTTTTTCAGTACCAAGGACAGTGTCAGTGTGTTTTTCAGTACCAAGGACAGTGTCAGTGTGGTTTTCAGTACTAAGGACAGTGTTGGTGTGTTTTTCAGTACCAAGGACAGTGTTGTTGTCTTTTTCAGTACTAAGGACAGTGTCAGTGTGTTTTTCTGTACCAAGGACAGTGGTGGTGTGTTTTTCAGTACCAAGGACAGTGTCGGTGTGTTTTTCAGTACCAAGGACAGTGTTGGTGTGTTTTTGAGGACCAAGGACAGTGTCGGTGTGTTTTTGAGGACCAAGGACAGTGTCGGTGTGTTTTTCAGTACCAAGGACAGTGTCGGTGGGTTTTTCAATACCAAGGACAGTGTTCGTGTGTTTTTCAGTACCAAGGACAGTGTCCGTGTGTTTTTCAGTACCAAGGACAGTGTTAGTGAACTTGATAAACTGATTTTTTTGCAGACGATGATGCTCCTGACTGCACTGGAGGAGTGTGTCAGACTGGGACGGCCAGGATTGCATTTAACCAGGAGGAACTGCAGAAAAAGGTAGCTCAGCCATCATTTGCACAATAAAAAATAAACTAGAAAACAATGTAAGAGGGAACAAGAGGTGGGGTTTTATGGCATAACGGCAAAGCATTCAGCTCAGAACCAAGAGCTCAGAGGTCCTGGGTTCAAATCCTGTTATGTCACCAACCTTGTGCCCTTGGGAAAAGCAGTTATCACGACTTTCCTCATTTTGCTCAGGTGTTAATGAGTATGCCAGAATGATCATTATTATGATTGTGGGCATCAAAAGAAAAACAAAAAAAGAACAAAAATTAACTGCTTGAAAATGCTGGTCAGTTTAAGTCAATAGAATAAGTATTTTGTTGTCATCTTCAGATTGATGCTGAGAATGAAGCGGAGGCAAACATACCATCAGGAGAGGAGCTGCGTATAGTGGAAGGGCAAGGTAATGGGACAGGTAGGGGCACAGCCTGAACACATGGGACACCCCAACCAACCAACCAACCAACCTAACAACAAAACCCATTTCTCTATCGCACTAAACAGAACTAAATCTATAGGGAAAATCCAACGGTTTGCGTGGAGTGTTAAAATAATCCATATATGGCACATGCCTGTATTCCCTTCCTGAAAACATGTACGAACATTTCTCTAACATACCCTGCAGTGAAACTAGAAAACGTTGTCTGATTTCCACGCTGTTCAGGTACACTCCAGATTGTGTGTGAATTGATTAATGATATGTACTTCCTTCATCTCCTTCCACGTTGTCATTGTCAAATCATTCCAACTGTCACACCATTTAAAATCAAAGTCTTCTTTGGTTTAAAACATCAGATGCCATCAAGTTTGTCATCATAATCATTGTGTGGTCATATATGTCGTCTTGTGTGAAATTGTATTTTGTACATGTAGCTCATGTGATGTACATGTAACGCCTGTTATGGGTGTCATTCTGCATGATGAAAGTTTTCCTATCACGAGTTAAAGCTTCATTTCTTTGACACATGTATGTCATCTTTCATATCTTTGAGATATTTCATATCTCAGCATTATGCTCCCAAAATTAGGTTCTAGATCTGCACCTGGAATTTTTTTGGTGCACCTTTCAAAATTCATATGCACTATTATGGACAGCAAAGCTTAACAGTCACACAGGTACAAATGTACATGTATCATGTCACTGTACAAATGTATATTTGTTTTCTTGCACCCTGATCATGATACATGATTGTACTTCCTTTCTGTGTTTGTGGAAAAAACACAATATTTGTTCAATGTCTTGCAAATTAGTTATGTGCCTTGCCCGTGCACTGAATTTTTTAGAGGTTGGGAGCACCTGTGCTCCTAAATCAAAAAGATAGTCTAGAGCCCTGTTAGACCATCGTTTATTGTAGGAAGCCAGACCATAGCCATTATTTCCTCCACAGATGACGAGGAAGCAAGTGAGGCCACTGCAGCCGCAGCAGCTGCAGCAGGTGCAGACGGCCAGAAGACACCTGCGGAGGAGGAGGAGGGGGAGGAGGAAGACAGCTGGGTACAGTTCATGAAGGAACACCCCCACCTGAAGCTGGGGAGCACCTTCACCTTCCGTGTCACTCTTCTCCAAGCCTCCGGCATCCCGCCGGAGTATGCTGATGTCTTCTGTCAGTTCAAGTAAGTTCTCAACATTTGTCTATTATGTCAGTATTGTAACATCAAGTAACAACTAGAAACTTTAGGCCACACCAATTCAATTTGTTGGTTCTCGGATTCGCCTCTTCGTTTTTTTCTGATTTGAAAAAAAAAAAATATGTATGATTCTGGTTCTGAATCAACTGAAAAATGCTCATGTTTTGCCCTCAACAGTTGAGGAAAGTCCTTTTCTTCCTAGTTGTTACAGTTTTCCCATCTATCATTGCAGTCGTTTGATTAAAAGTTCAAAATTCAATGTTTAAATTTTAACCCAGCCTTTTGTGTTGACTTCATGGCTCATTTCGTAGCATTTAAGCCTATAATAGGATGCCTAGACCTGTTTTTATTTTTATTTTTTTCGCCCTGTCGCTTCATATTTTTTCTGAAAAAATCCGAGAACCAACAAATTAAATTGGTGTGGCCTTAAGGTAACATTTGCAAAGCAAATGCATAATGCTTACCTTCAGGTATGTTCTGCTCTGTTGATTTTTTACTCAAACTCATTCATAATATATATGGTGACAGGAGTCTAAATCCCTCCGGCTATAGAATTGCAACATGATGTAACCCAACACCAGTTGCAATGGTGACAGACATCTGGTTCAGGTCATTGACCTTATTAAATTTTGTTAGGAGTAGAAGAAGAAACAGAGCAAAAACAGTATGTTTTCCTTCGGTAAACATAAAAAATACATTGTTGTACATTATGTTTTATATTAAATGGATTTTGTTTTACTTCTAAATGTCTGTGTTGATCTTAATTGCAGAACAAATTATTCAGTTACCTACAATGAAAAGTAATCTTCATAATACTATGTTTGTTTTCCCACAGTTTCCTACATCGCCATGATGAAGCCTTCTCCACAGAACCACTGAAGAACACTGGCAAAGGGCCACCCCTTGGTTTCTATCATGTCCAAAATGTAAGCAGCATTTTTTTAATAACACAAGTCATGTAACTAGTGGCAAGGAGTTGTAGTCTGTGTCTATTGTGATTTTACATAAAATTTTGTGTTCATTTTACCCAAAGGCATGCAAAGAAACAAAAACCTATAGAAATGTTTGTTTTTGATACTGAATTGTTTTTGATACTGGCTTATTTTTGAAAGTACCAGTAACTTGTTTTTAAAAGTACCAGTAACTTGTTTTTGAAAGTACCAGTAACTTGTTTTTGAAAGTACCAGTAACTTGTTTTTGAAAGTACCAGTAACTTGTTTTTGATACTAACTTGCACTAAGACTGTCCCTTCTATACAACCTCAGATTTCGGTAGTTGTGACCAAGTCGTTCATTGAGTACATCCGGAGCCAGCCCCTCGTGTTTGAAGTGTTTGGTCACTACCAGCAGCATCCTCTGCACATGCAGGCCAAGGAGGAGGTCATGTAAGTACTACCACACTGTCAAATAAATGGGTGTACTTAAGGAACTTTGCAGACAAAGACAGATGCCATGATTGATGGTGTATGAAAATTAAAGTCTTTGTTGTCTTTATTTCGATGCCCTTAAGCCCAAAAGGCGAATCTTCCAGGGTTCATACAAAATAAAACACGTAACATTACATGTGTACATTTGTACATGATTTTATACAACATTCAATTTGATAACAGATTACATGGTAAAAACACATTTGGCACAAAAAGAAATTTACATTACATTTGTATGATTGTGCAAGTTACTGTACATAAATGAAAGGAACATATTAATAAAATTATATATTGAGCAGTTAGCGTATGGCTTTTAAAATTCTTTTTAATGTGACAATATAAGTGGGAAAATTCAAAAAGGATAATCCATTTCAGAATGATTTCAGTAATATTATGTAAAGAAAAAGATTGATGTAACCAAATCAGCACAATTAAGTGTTGTAAAATTAGGAAATTCAATGTTTCTTGCAATATCAGCACTTCTATATGATAGTCCTTGATAAGATGTTGATTTCCTTCCACAGTTCATCATGTATTCCTATTTTGTTTGCAGCATGCAGCGAAGAATGCCCCGAACATTCCCACAGTCCCTTCCACTGGCAAAACCAGGTATGATCAACAAAAATCATTCAGAACCTGTCTTTCAAGTAGTTACATTCTTCCAAATACATGACATGGAAATAATACAGTACAGAAAAACCTCTTTGGATTCTCTAGGAATTATGCTTATTTTTTTATTCTCTTTGTATGTTTAAAGTAAGTTACTTTCAATTCAAGTCAGCAAATATTTGTCTTACAGTTCCATCTCCAAGACATGGGCGTGTACCAACAACACCCAAGTAAGTGTCTTAAAGTTTGTCCATAAAATGTGTTTCTGAAGGCTGAATCAAAAACATACTTCTATAGATTACAATATGTAGGTTACCATTATCATTTTTCTAGAGTTAAAAGGAAGCTCATAGCAGATAATATAGAGATGTATTAATAACTAAATATGATCTTTTCCAGTCTGAACATGACCCACTGCAGTTATGACCTGCTGGGCTGGTGGGAGATCTGTGAGCTGGGACCTTCAGGAGAGTAAGTTGTCTCAAATCCTCCCTCATCATTGTTAAATTGGGCACAGAATCACAGTCATTCACCATTCAATGGTTATACTCGCTCACTCACTATCTGGTCTATAGTCATGTTCCTCATCTTCCGAGGGTTAGACGTGCTTGCACTGCAATACTGAGGCTTGATGGCAGCCTGCCACTTGCCTCTGTCTTGTGGGTTGACGTTATATGATATCAATATTGTAGACACCAAGTATCTTGGATTAGACTAGATTTTGCTGTTCAGCTTTTTATCGTTGCTCTTTAAATTTGTATCTACAGGACAAGTACCGTAGACAAATTTAAGTCTCTACCAGGCTCCCCTAAAAATTGTAGAAAACCCCAAAGACTGAATAGCATGGCACAGGAATTTCCTTATTCTGTTAGCAATAGTAATGACTGTATAATTATTTGTACAATATGTATATGTCATGTGTACATACATGACATACATGTATAACATCTATCCTGCTTGTCTACAGGTACATAGCAGCTGTAGTGGACCACAGTGATGAGAAGCCATGTCAGGGGGTCTTCATGTTGCATCAGGTCAGATTCTCTCCCTTAAGCCATGAAAATAAAAGAAAAAACAATGTCATGCCATGTGTAAAATTTCTTGACATAATTTGTCAGACTGTCACTGTGTTTTTAAGAAGACTTGTATTTTTGATAAGTGGTGGCAAAAGCCAAATATTGTCCTAAGAAATATTGGGAATGATATCATACATTTAGTTTTTGCAAAAAAAGTACTTTTAAGCATTAAGTGAGACTGAGTGCCCATGTTGTTCATACAGGGTATCCAGAGACGAATCCGAGTGACACTTGTTCACGAGCCTGGACAAGATGTGGTGTGGAAGGGGGTGAAAGAAGTTGTCATCGGTAAGTAATCTTAGAAAGCAACAGATAGATAAACTTTGTCTGTTCATAGCTCTTTGTTAATCTTCATGAAAGACAAAATGTCATCTTCCTACTAAGTAATTCATAACTTAATGGTCAGTATTAAAGGCATCCAGTGCAGTTTTTAGGGCTTGGAAACCTGATTTTTTTTTAAGTCAATATTCTAGTCACTTATCTACATACTGAGTTGAAACCACATTATCCCAATGCATGGAACAAAAATTCCCAATATTCTGACGGAAAATGGTTACTAGAAGGGCCCTGGGCTGATTTTTAGGGTACCACCCAGAAGTTCGTCAACCTGGGGCTTGTTTCTGCAGTTTTAAATGCCCAAAGTATGAAATGCTAATCTAAATGTGCTAATGCATTAATAAATAAATAAATAAATAATGCGAGGCAGTATGTGTCAATATCACGAAGATTGCCTTATTCAGAATATTTCCAGTTTTGCTGCCCTGAAATCACATTGGATGCCTTTAAAAGTTATCTATCCTCAGTAAGTGAAAATTGGTTTGTTTGTTACAGTGATCTAGCTTCAGGCTCGTTTGTCTGTTAGTATTGTTTTGTGTTCTGTGTTCACAACCCCGTGTTGTAGGTTGGCCTACTATTCGTCCCAAATCAACAAAAGACATGAAATCCTTACGCAAGAAGCTCCTCTATGGTGGGTGGCATGGTGTCATCAGTTACTGCCAAACATTTCTTAAGACATTTGAGTCTGACATTGGCATGAAGTGTGACATTGGGAAGCTAAAACCAAAATGTTCACCTGCAACATAACGGTTCACAATACATACTGTCATGTACAATGGATTTTTTCCTCAGTCTAGATGTTTGCTTTACTTTTTTCTACATTCTATTCTAACACCTTGTTTAGTTTTCACTGGATTCCTAAGAAATTGAGATTGGTGGTAATTAAAAAAAATGAATTTGTTTGTAGAAGTTGTTCTACATACTGGCATTGTCTCATATGGTTCACGTTTTCCCCCTCTTTTGATGAACTTTTATTTACCAAACTAATACCACTTCTTTCCCAACAAAAGAGCTTTCTATCATCCAAATTCTGTGTCACCATAGCATGTCCATAAAAGATGATTGAGGTTATGTTGGATGGTAACTTAATACCAATGAATTACATGTTCTAAAGGCTGGTGTGGTTGGGGTATCTGTATCTGTATCTGCATAGCCAATATAACCGCCTTTCAGCGTAACACACCAGCTTCACAGGCACGCGGTGCGGTGGCAGCTGGCTATATTACACCGATCGACTTGTTACACCTAACCCTTGAACTTCTAACTCTAGACATTGTTTAAAGCTATCTATTAAGTAAAAAAAAATAAATGATAATGCTAGTACATGTAGCTGATGTTGTCTTAAACAATGTGTTATAATAGTTTTTTAACAGTAATGTTCATTCTCCCCTGCAGGACGGATCAGAAACAAGTTGGAAGTGAAGGGTCCTGATGGAGAGGTGTCTGCCCTGTCACTCAACATCTGTTCACAGGGGTACCTCTACCCACCTCATGATCTCAGGTACATCTACAAAACCTGGCTTTTAGTTTTACTTCTATATTTTTCTGAGAATGCTACAGTAACTACAGTCCCTTGAGTTGGTCTGTTACCACCCTTTCTGCTCATCATATTAAGGATATAGCGTGTTTTACTTTAAGTTTGTTTATAAATTCTGCATTATCATACAGAAGTTATGTATGAACACACACAATGTATCTCTTCCACAACTGAGGCATCATAGGATTTGAATACAAGTTGGTAGCAAATTAATTAAAGGATTTTCCCAAATGTGCAGTCTACATGTAATCCCTATAGCTAACAGATGACTGGCTGTCCCTAGCATGAAAAAATGATGTAGAGAAAAATTCATCATGTAACAGTATATAACAGTTGCAACAGTTACTGATATACTTGTCAAATAACTGAAATTATATCTAGTATCAATTATTACTTGTAACCTTATTATTGGTAGTCTTTTTTCATCCCCTGCAATTTTTTATTTGCTTGTCATGTGTAGTTTTAGAATTTTTCAACTAGTAATTAAGTAGCTGAAACTGCATGACAAGTCTTGTTTTGAGCATTGAAAATTTCCTGTTTTCTGAGCTACACAAAATTTAGTGTATGTTACAATCATGTTTCTTCCCTGCTTATAGTGATTTTTAATCAAACATCCAATTTCCCTTTCAAGCACTACCATTGAGGAACATGACATTAGGTATTTGGTCTCGGTCATAACTGTGTTTGGTCCCTACTAGATGGCAGTGTGATGAACTATTTATCAATAACAGAATGCATAATTTGATTTAAGGCCTGGGGTACATGTAGATAAAGTCAGTGTTGAATGACATCTGATTTTAGGTGATGCAGTGTCTGTGTAGTACCTAACAAGTGTTATTAAGCTGATCTTACACTATTAAAACCTTTCAAATTAAAAATAGATTATTGTTAAATTTATGTTTGAATGGAAATAGGTACTATTATTACTCAAAGCATTTAGAGTAGCTGCATGAAAAGTGATGTCCTGACTAAATACTTCAATCTGTACAACAATATAAGCTCTTTGGTAATATAAGAATCTAACTTGTATTTTCTATTTTGACAGGGTGTTCTACCAGTTTGAAGCAGCCTGGGACAGCTCGTTGCACAACTCAAAACTTCTCAACAGGTCAGTCAAAGAAATCACTTTGTTTAGAGTTAACTTCAAGACAATTTGGAATGTTGGACATATTATTAACATTGTGAACTTTCCTTGTGCGTTGACTTCAGAATCTTTTGCTGTTAACACGATACTAAACATAACTGACATTTTTCTTTTCCTCCATACAGAGTAACTCCCTACAGAGAGAAGGTCTACATGACAGTATCAGCTTATATCGAGGTACTTTTTTTTTTCTTTGTGTACCTAGAATTACATGTAAGGAAGAAATAGTATCCTGGCTCATGTACATGTAAAGTGATAATAATGAATATTGTTGGGAATTTTTGACTTTTTAATTAGAAATTGTCTGGAAAAGTAGCAGCACATTAAGGTTAGAGAATCCCTTCAGTATGCTAAGAAGACTATTACTATTAGTAATAGTAAAGACTATGTTGTTCTTGGTACTTCCCAGTTGGACAACTGTGCCCAGCCCGCCTGTATTACAAAGGACCTGTGTCTCACCATCCACAGTAGAGATGCCAGACTTTCACAGCCTAGGTAAACATATACATCATTAACACCAGATTTGTCTTTGTCAAGTTCTTTCTGGTTCAGTTCTTTACAAGTACATGTGCAATGTATAAGATTCAAATGTCAAATGCAAAATATGTATGTGAAAAGTCATCAATTGTTTTTCCATCTTTGCTATCTAATCATCAAAATTAATAGATGCAGCCAGATATAAACATCATAATTTTATTTCATTTGATATTTCCATTCTGTAGATCCTTGCGAAGCCTGTTTGGAAGTGGCTACTACAGATCTCCAGACAGGTATGGTTTAGGTTCAATGCTCATCCGATTCATAAAATGCAACACCTACATGTATATACCCGTCCTGATACTTTAAACTACTTAATAAAAGTCTAAGATCACTTACCATACAGAGGAATTAACTGAATGAAGGGTCACCAGATTTTGAACCCTTAATTCTAAATAGTGCAACGTTGTCCATGTTTTATCTTGAAAGTTCATCTGTATTGGTAGAAGTCAGTATGAACAGTCAAGATTGAATTGCAATTGCCAAGTGAACACGAAACAACTCTGTCAAGGAATGAGCAATCCACCGCTTCCGTGACGTCACTTTACAACCATCCCTTAACAGAGACGGGGGGCGCCACAGACTTTCTGCAACCTATGTATATTGTATGTATGTATGTATATTCTATGTATGTGGTCACGCCATCAGCTGATTAGCTGCCTTGTGTCCACATTGTATTGTCTTCGTCGCAATTTCAATAAATAAAAAAAAAAAAAAAATAAAAACCTATGATCCACTGCTCACGGAGCACGTGTGTTATCTGCACGGAAGTGGTGGTTTGCTCATTCCTTGACAAAGACTGGAGTTGTACAGTCCAAAATTTGAGTGAGTCCAATTCTTTGTGTCGGCAATATTAATTACAGTTCAGCCTATTGTCCATGTTTCTTTCAGCAACCGTGTCAGCAGTGTTTATGAGCTGAGCCTGAAGCATTCCAGTCCAGAGGGGAGTCCAGGTAATGGCATTACCCTATACCCTATAGCTAGCATTGACACCCATGTTCATACACATATTCATAATGTCTTACACACCTAAACCATTGTCTTTTCTGTTATCATTTTGATTGAAGAATTTTTATAAGTTTTCATCTCATTTAAGAAAGGTTTTTTAGACATTGCAGCTGCAGCAGCATTGACACCCATGTCCATGCACATATTCATAATGTCTTACACACCATTACAAACCATTGTCTTTCTGTTATCATTTTGATTTAAGAAATACTTTTAAAAAACTCATTTAAGAAAAGTTTTTCAGTGCATTGTTTTCAGTTTTGAGGAGGAAGATATATATTCAAAATAGTTTTGGGTTTGCAGTAAAATTTTCACTTCAGGGTGGTACAGGGGGTGAAAAAATGAACTGTAAATTATATTTGTGGGCTGCTGATACGTAAAACAAAAAATTTTAATGAAAAGTAACCTCTCAGTTTAAGATTTTCTTCATCAAATTTGCATTCAGCTGTACATTGTGTATCTGAGATTGACTGTTGATTGCTGCGTTCGATTCCCTCATGCCACGAAGATGGTGCTTCTGTTGACGGGAAGGGACCGGGAAGTAAGTCCTCCTAAAAGTTCCCTGATCGACCCCCCCAGTGATTGACTCGTTTGTTCTCGTCAGGAGGATGTACTGTTACCTGTGTGGTCCGTGATCCTGCCCCCCTCCCCCTTAACCACCCTGAACAGTCAACACTATATATATCATATACACACCACCCTCATGGAAAACTATACTTTGTACATGTAACACATTCTTTTCTGTGGATTGATGCCTGTGACTCTTGTGATGAGTGTTTAAAAAATACCCAATATACTCGTTTTGAAGTGAAAAGAGAGTTTCTGTAGATCATTTTGTTTCCTTCATGTCTATTTCCTAAGGCCACACCGACTTAATTTTATGGATGACATCCGCGCGCGCATTGACTTTCGCCTGTTCTTAAAAAAAAAAAACACGTCCTTCGATGTTCTGGCCTGGCTCTAGGCCTGGGTAGTCCATGGTAGTTAGCGACAATACGGAGCCGGTGGTAACTCTGTGCCCAGACTACTTATAATAAGTGCCGATTCAAAAAGCCAGCATGTGCCGGCTTGTCGTATACGTCGCTATGTACTACCGCAAATCACAATACCAGCTTTGTATTCCTGTGGTTTAGTAGCATTTTATTTTTGGATGGAATTTTTTTTTATTCGCCCGCGCACACAAGTTTAGGGGTCTTCAGAGGATGTCATCCATAAAATTAAGTCTGTGTGGCCTAAAAGAACAAAAAAATGTCAACAGATACATGTAACCATGGAGCTATTATTCTCAAATAATAGCTCCATGATGTAACATCATCATGACATACATGACATTGTACAATATCTGAAAGAATTGTTTCTTATTTTGTGTTACCATGTTTTTTTATAATATTTCAAACACTTCAGATATACAAGTCTTGTATACCCCTTGCCAACAGGGAACTATACATGGCTGTATATCATGAGGGAATATGGCAGGTAATGATTCAATAGTAAGGAAAGAAGGCAATGTAATACTAATTTATATAAAGTAAATGTTGGCAGACATTGTTACTCTGCATAGCAAAGTTCTTTATTCACAACCACCTGTTTCCAAAATCATATCCAGTTGCTTGAGGAACTTTTTTTTGACATATCTTATTACCTGGATGTCTAACCTTCACCAACGTATTCACCAACCTGATGAAGTTATTTACTGGTTGTACTTCTGGGTTTAGAATTTTCTTCTTACACAACCAGTAAAGATTCTCACCTGCTTACGTTTTGATGTCTATCAGACACCTTCCTCAGAGCTTCTGACTGGAGTTCTGCAACTCGCTGCTATTTATCGCCAAAGTAGGTGTCTGATAGGCATCGAAACGTAAGCAGGTGAGAACCTTTACTGGTTGTGTAAGAAGAAAATTCTATACCTAAAGTATCTTCCAACCTGATGAATTATTTACGGGATTGTACGTCTGCTTGGTACGGCAGGTGTGCAGCGGCGGAGACGGAGAGTTCTGGACACGTCCACGACGTACGTACGCGGCGAGGAAAACCTGGCGGGCTGGAGACCCCGCGGTGACTCCCTCATCTTCGAGCACCAATGGGAGCTTGAGAAACTCACACGGCTAGAACAGGTCCGCACAGACACGACTTTTACCACACTTCTGGGGTGGAAGGTTTAAACTAAGTGCAATGTTACAGTATTAATTCCTTTAATTTTTGGATCTATGCAAGATAATAAATACATTTTGTACATACAGCCAAATCTGACCAAGCAGTCTCTTCTACAAGCAGGCCAACCTGGCCATAACAACCACCTTTTCCAGTTCTGGACATTTTTTTTCCACTGTAGCAAACCCAGGAAGGCAACCAGTGTAGAAGGCAATCATGTTGCAATTTTATAGCAGGAGGGATTTAGACTCCTGTCTGGCCATATATATATGAAATTCAATGTGTTTGAGTAAGAATTAACAGAGCAGACCATGTGCAAAGGTAAACATTATGCATTTGCTGTGCAAACGTTACCTTTCTAGTTTGCATTGTGTTAGAAGTAGAATTTTAAGATGATTGTACATTGTCTTCCAGGTGGAGAGAGTCCGACACTTGCTGTTGCTGCGAGAGAAGATGGGCATCATTTCTGCTGACGAAGCCCAGGAGAAGAGATGGATTCTGGGAGAGGGGGACGATGACACTGTAGACAGGCAGATCGCCCTGCTGGACAAGGTCTGTACTCTCATCCAATAGGAGCTCACGGAATATTCAACCAATCATACAGCCAACACTGTATTATAGTAGTTGAGAATTGTAACTGTTGCACATTATTTTTGCTTATATTAATTCAGTATCACCGAGCCTCAGTTCATTCTGTAACAATTTTCCAAGTGTATATCAATTTTGAATATTTGATCTGAATACTGACATTAACCTCCTCTTTGCTGTCCTACAGGTTTCCATTTTGTACAATCCAGTCTTTTGATATTTAAATGTTGTGTAATGGAAAAAACAAAGGATGTTAAAAAAACAATAGAATATACTTAATGGCTGTTGCACGTCATTATGTTGCATGTATCAATTCAGTGATCATCACTGTTGACTAGACAATCTTCTAATTGTATGATTTAATGCTATACTTTCAAAATATATAATTGACAATAACTCACTATGTGCTAACTTCAGATATCACAGTAACGTTGTGTGACAGTTTCTAAAATTAATGGTGTCCTCTCTGTAGTGCTTAAAGTTGTGGAGCATGGAGCCCCTTCAACTCTTTGTAGAGGTAAGACCTTTTTAGAAGTCTTGTTTTTAATCTTTGATTACTGCCGTTAATTTTAATGCACATAATTTTGTAATAAGTGAAACAAAGAAATGAAACAGAAGACAAAATGAAAATGATTATCACTCAGAGATACAAAATTAATTCAAAATATGATGAAATCAAGTAAAGTACAAAGTGAATATTAACAAGTTCAAAACATAATAAACTTAATCAAACAAGGAAAGTCTTGTTTATCAATCACAATCATATACACTAAAGAATTGCAAAGTTCAGCACTTACCTGATCATGTTTGACTAAGATAGTATTTTGTTTTCTTTTTTTTTCTTAATTCAATCATCAAAAAGTGGACCAACCCAACTAAATCTATATAACAAGAAGAAATTCTTAAAATAACTAACTTAAAGTTATTGTGGAAATAAAAGAAACTAAATGATGCAGAAGCATTTCATATTTCAATTATGTTCTTTATACATTATGCTTTATTTTCACCATGGGTTTCTTACAGGCTTTTCTACTAAAAATTCTCAAGAAGGTATTTAGAAACATTTTCACCTCGTCCCACTTGTTTACCATCATTCTTCATAATGCCACTTTCTTCAATTTATTTATTTAGTATCGTTTTCATTTCTTTCCAACTTCTTCTTGGCTTAATTATAAACCATGAATACTCATTCAGTTATTCAATAATTTATTATAAGTTATTATCAAACTCACTGAACTACAATCGTAAAAAGCCTTGGAGCTAATGCTAAAAATCTAAACTTTAATTGTCACTCAGGTTTCATTTTCATTACATAATATTATAACACAGTGACTATATTAAAGACTTATATGCTTGTTTTAGTCTGTTATTAGGATCATGATACGTTTTATACCTCTATTTTGTTATAATACTTATCAATATTTATCAATAATTTATTAATAATTATCAATAGTTGCCATGCATTGTACCATGTATTATGAGTACTGCATGTAAGTTGTCATCCATAATTTAAATGTTCTCCTACAACAATAATAAGTCAAAATTTCATTAACAGTTACTGTACGTTTTAAATGCATAATTAATTATATGATACTGAAATGAAACAGAGTTCCTCTGTATCTACTACTATTAAATAATGACATTTTCTTTCCAACAGGACCCAGATGTAGATGATGTAGATGATGATGATGACCCAGCCGGGATGATCCGGTCTGTCTCCACCCCGGTTCTCAGCTCCACCCTGGTGGAGAACTCCCCCCAGCACAGCCCAGCCAAGTCCCCGGTCCCCCCACCCCCTTTAGGGGCACCAGACAGCGAGGGGCCCCTCCCGGAAGGGGTGGCGGTGCCTGTGTTACCCCCCCTGCCCCCCGACTCTACAGACGACCTGAACCCTGACCATCAGGCTCTCTACATCCCTGCTGTGGAGGAGATCAGAGTCAGGTACTAAATTAACCAATCGGGGCATTAGCACTAGATAGCTTTATACAATGTTTACAGTCAGATTTGCAGAGGTTAGGTATAAGTTACTGTAACACTAACAAGTCATTTGTGTAAAAGCCACCTACATGTATATACATGTATGTCATGCTGAAGGGCAGTTAAAGGAACTTCAAGTTTTTTTACTGGCTATACATTATTCAGAGACAGATACCAAATACTTGTGGTCCTTGATAATGTTATAAATTATGCTAGATACAAATGTATGTGTATGATGTACAGTGTTCTTTGGCAGTAATTGCGTGAGTAGGGGAAAGTTGCATTATTTCTGTATGAAAATCTATTGATATTTATGGTCAAACATTTTTCTCTGCACAGCCCTGTTGTGTCACGCAAAGGATACCTAAATTTTCTAGAGGAGAAAACCAGTGGCTGGATCAAGCGATGGGTGGTAAGGCATTCACTGGAATTTTTCCTCCAAAGGCAAACAAACTGTTTCCTCTTTAATTTCTGTTAGTGATCATTGACAAGCACATGTAGACATCACACTCTCATTTTTAGTAAACTACCCTTAGGATTATTTTGATTTGAATTCTAATCAAGTTGAATGAATGATAATCGAGTTTTGACAATTGAATGGTGCACTATAATATGTTAGACCTTTAATATTATTGTTTTATAAATCAGGATGTTAAATTTTATTCCATGCCTTTTTTTGTACTATGTACAATAGTTGTTGCCATACATTGTTCTGTGTACAATTGTCATATACTATTAGTTAAGTTCTTATCATGTATTTTGTTCCGTGTACGTAGGTGGTGCGTCGCCCGTATGTGTACATGTACAACAATGAGAAGGACCCTGTAGAGCGGGGACTGATTAACCTGGCCACTGCACAGGTGGAGTACAGCGAGGACCAGCAGGCCATGCTCAAGGTAACTCTGTCAACACTAAGTCACGCTCCTGACTGATTGGGGAGAGGGCCAATAAACACCTACCCTGGGAGCTAGGCTGGATAAAGGGCTGTTAGCCAGTGCCCTTTGGTGGCCAAAAGCACTACACTTGCTTATCTACTAATAAATATCACTACAGGGGAGTTGAGCCCAAGAGGATTTGGCCAGCACTTTTACTGCAGTTCTTTGAGCCACTGAAGGGTTCTGGCTAACGGCCTGATAGTCAGTCTGGCTCCCAGGGTAAAAAACACCCAGCAGTGAGTGATTCTGTAACACAGGCTAATTGGTGTTACAAGTTAATTTCTTGGTTAACGGATTTTTCTAGAAAAATAATGGAGCGGGCGGGCAAAAAAAATAAAAAATAAAAACAGGCCTAGGTATTCTATTATGGCCCAAAATGGTACAATAGCAGCCAAGAAGTCAACACACCAGGCTGGTTCAAAATTTAAACAATGAATTTTGAACTTTCAATGATACCATTGCATTGAAAGATGGAATAACTGCAACAACTAGGATGAAAAGGACTGTTTTCAACTGTTAAGGGCAAAATATGAGCATTTTGCTGTTGATTCAGATCTGAATTATTATTTTTATTTGCAAATCAGAAAAAAATGAAGCAGGCGAATCCGTTAACCAAGAAATTAAATTGGTGTGGCCTATGGTAATAATAGTAGGGGTAAGCTTTTCATACAAACTTAAGGTATTCTGTTCTGTTTGGCCTCCAGACCCCCAACACGTTCTCAGTGTGCACCAAGCATCGCGGGTTCCTGCTGCAGACCCTGGGTGATAAGGACGTCCATGACTGGCTGTATGCCATCAACCCCCTGCTGGCAGGCACCATCAGGTAACAACAACAACATTAGTGTGGAGATCAACAACTTCATCCTGTATAATATATACATTAGACATTGTATTGTAGGTGTACAAATGTATACTTAGTTAAGTTAATGAATCTTTATTGCATGTTCTTGCCCAGATGGGCTAAATGCACAAGAGGATATGCAGTATGCAAAAACATTGAGTATTTCATACTAGTACGCTATATTCTAATGCAAAGTGCTAGTAGTAATCTATACATTACAATAATACTATAAACTACCTATCATCTACTGTTAGTTGCCCTTTCTTCTCTCTTTTTGAAACATTTGGAAACATAATTACATAGTTTGTCTATTGTACATTCGTTGTTGCATGACATCAAGTGTTTAAACATGTCCTGCTTTGACATTTTCTTACATATCTTGTCTAATTGTAAAGTATCGAATAGCTCTTGGCGTTCATCTTAGTTTATATAATGTACAGTCAAGTAGAAAGTGCATCTCGTTTTCAACATATAAGACTCCTATATCACTGTAACTGTTTCCAGACTTACTACTTTATTATGATGACCTGTACTTACATGTAGCTTGTAAGAACATAAAATGTACAAGAAATTTAGGACCTAATTAAGGTTTAAAAGTCATGTGTATTGGTGAACAATAGAATAACATTTAACATCTTTTGAAATCAGTGAGTTCAATGATGGTGCACTATTTGAGTGTGATGTACTAATTTTTGATGTACTAATTTGAAGGAGGGGTGAAAGAAGCATTGTGGATTTGCTAGCAACTATATCAGTCCTTTGTTTTTTTGCAGGTCCAAGCTTGCCCGCCGTGCTGCCTACCTCAGAATCTAGCCGTGCAGTTGACCCAGTCAGACATTGTGGCATGTGTACTTCCTATAATGACCATCCTTGCGCACACAGACAAGTCATGTCATGTCGATTGACTCGTTGGCACAACCCGTGATGATACGTCACTCTTGATCCAAAAGGGCAAAAATCATTTCATTTTAGCAAATTCTTACAATTGTGTCAGCAACATTTAGTCAGAGCTGCGTGAATATAGAGGAACCTTTGTCAGAAGAATTTAGAGAGAGACTGCTCTTTTTAAACTCATCCCAACATCACAGTAACTTATCATACATTTTAGGAAAGGGAATTGACCACCAGACTTATCCAAAATATTGCTTTTAAAGGCAAGGTAGACACTTGACAATGTGTATTCCTCTTAATCGGTGTTTCTACAAATTAAACACCTCCCTACACATAATACCACCCAATGGCAGTCAGAAGTGCACTTGGATGTAATGTCTGGTTACAGGGACATTGCTTTACAAAGCTGCAGTATTCCCCCATCCTTTCCCCACTACAGCTATAACCCTTTAAGGATGTCTTTGGTACCTAAGAAAGGCCTACATTTTATGTACGTAAAGTATGGTCAAACAGTTTTGGATCAGTAGTGACTGTTCATCAGTGCTCAGCCAACAAGAGTGTTCTGTATAATGTATATTGCTCTCTCAGTGCTAACTTAACATGCTTACCCAGCCTTGCCTCGCACAAACTTATGACAAGTAATTTGAGATGCAAAATTAAGAGAAAAAAAAAGACATGCAAGTGTTACAGATTTTGACAAACTTTTGTGATGTACTATTTTTCCCCAAGCCTAATTGTACACGTTCCAGTTGTGGAATGGATTGTGTGATTGTACAAATAGCCAAGTGCTGACTGTATGGTGTGGAGTGAGATTGCAGATGTCTTGCCATGAATGTTGTTAGTAATGTTGTAAGGAGTATAGAATATGGTACGTAGGCATGGCATATGCAGTTCACCATTTATTATGGCTTGCTGTGTGATCTGCCTTGCTTGTATTTAAGTGTGAAAATAAGTTTTCAGGAATTTTCAAAGTTGTCAGATGGTAGAAAAGGGATGAAGTGACTGTATAGAGACCAGCTGTATTGAAAATTAGTTGTGTATTTTGCAAAGTTTGCAAAGCAGGATATTATAAAAAATTTTGAAGATTACTGAATTTTATACTGGTCTATAACCTGTATAATTTGTGCTTCAGCTGGTTCAGTTTGCATGCTGCTTGGACAAAATGGCACATAATTTTTGAGCAACTTTCTTGCCATTTTTGTTTTTTATTCAAACTTATTTGTTTCCATGTTTTTTTACATTTAAAAAGTTGTGTTTATTCATTATTTCTGGACTAACAGGCCAGTGGTTTTTCTAGCAAATGCTGCAAAAGAAGTACCAGTAGATACTTTGTGTGATTTCTGTTTTTTGACTTGTTTTATTTATTATCATGGTGAATGCTGTGCCATGCATATGTCCTCTAGGAATTCTAGTCCAATTCAAGAGACAAAATTGTCGCAATGTGATTATCAATGTATATTAATAGACAAGTAGTAATCATCATATTGTAAATCTTCCATCCTATATGTTGTATTAAAAAATGTATGCTAAGAAAAGTTTTAATGTGCAGAAGTGCAATGTAAGCAAGGCCACTCAAAGTTAATTTCCTGTATGAAGGATTATTTACTGAAAATAATCAACAAGACAAGAAATGTACAATACAGTACAGAAAACACAGTACGGAGTTATGTTTAAGTACAAGTGGTGACCGAGAAAAATCAGCCAGTCTACATGGAAACTTCATGAACCAGGAAACTAAATTTGTATGGCCTGAATGTAAGATAATGCTACAATGTAGTGTTGTTGTACAGGGTGACACAGAAGTTCTTCCCTTCTTCATATAAGCCATATTAGTTTGAATTGCAAAGTTTTTGCGTTGTGTACAAGAATATAAGAAACAAACATTCTTATCATAAATCATATTGATATACAATTTTGACTACCAGGCTCTCAAACATCGAAATCAGTGAATTGTCAAGATTTAGACACTTAAGATCCTTTGAATTGTGTTTCCTTGAAAATTAAGTCATTGATGAATTGAAAAGTTATTACAATTTATTCAGGAAAGGTAATTTATCACTAGAATGTTGTTGAAATGAATGTACAGTCATTATACAAACAGTTCAAATTGTTGACAGTTGATGAAAGCACAGACCATTGCAATCTTCTGTGTCACTCTGTCGTCTTGTGCAATTTTTGGAAACGCCTAAGACTAACAATTGAAAAGACTCTAGTTATTGTTGTTAAAACTTACACCAGTTCTATGAAATGTTTTGCTTGATAATCTTGACACTCAGCAACAGTCAGAAATGCAACTGCCTAGAAGCATCAGATGATATGGATAGAGATAGGATATAACATAAACAGGTGCTGTGCTGGAATTTCTTCAGATATCGATATCTTGGGAATAATCATATGAAGTACAAAATGTACCACTGCAAATTTGTTGAATGTATCATCGGAAGTAAGAAAAGGCAGCCATGTGGCTGAAGGAGTTAGTACATGTAGGTTGTCCCACAAAAATGTGTACAAACTTGAAGAAAATCATTACGAGTGTTGAAAATGTGTGACACTAGTTTCAGAAAGTCTGTGTGAGTAAAAACCAGCCCCTGTATGTATTTCCATACATAAAAGAATTCAAAAGGGAAAGTTGGCTGTGTCCAAAATTTGGTATTCAAGGTATTTGTGTTTTACCTTCCTAACATCAACAAAGAAAGACAGGCACTGGTATTTTCCTCATATGAGTGTACATTAAGAGAGTACATGAGTGTTGAGAAAGGGTGACCCCGCTATGTCATTATAATTTGTACAGAGCCGCTTCAGATCAAATTTGAAAAATACCGTTGAACTAGTAATGTTACAATGCATAGGATTCGCTCTCTTGGGGTCAACTCAATGCCTTGAACCAATGAAAAGGCATGTTATATGATTAGCTGATGCAGTATAAGAACAAACGGTGTGTATATACTGAGAGACAGCTGATACCATGAGTACAGTTTTCTCATCAGCGCCTGGTTGTTAGGGAGTTGGCTTTTGAGAATGCAGTGAGTGGAAGAGACCAAATAAACCTGTATGTGTTGCTTCTGGCATTGCGTGTTTCAGTACTTCTTTTAAACTTTTTTATCAATCAAACTTTGTTGCAAACTTTTGCCCAAAACGTCGTTGCAATGGAATAAACAACTAGAGAAGTAACATTTGCAAAGCAAATGCATAATGTTTACCTTCGGACATGGTCTGCTCTGTTAATTCTTACTCAAACACATTCACATACATGTACTACTAGTATATGCTGACAGGAGCAGACCGTGAAATTGCAACATTATGTAACCCAACACCAGTCACCATGGTGACAGACGTCGACAAATCATGTCTTGGTCAGGTCATAGGTCACTGTTTGGAGAAGAAGAAGAGGAAGAAACTGAGCAAAAACAATATGTTTTCCTTCGGTAAACATAATCATAATATCGGACAAGGTAAAAAGTGTGTAGCCTATATACATCTAACAGATTTGTCTATTGTACATCTAACAGATGTTAGCAACTATATCACCAGGATTTGGCGTATTCTTTAGAGGCATTAGCTATAGTCCCACGTTTTAATGATAGTGGGTTGTGTGACATATATTGTTTACACTGTTTTCTATCAGAGTATTTGATCACCGAATCTCTCCTTGATGAGTTTGGCGGTCTCCTTGGCTGCACCAGTCAGCCGCGCCCTCTGCTGGGATTGGTGTAACCGCAGGTAGAACGACTTCATGTCAGGTCTAACCTCGACGCCCTGTGTAATTGACAACATCGATAACTGCACAATAGCTGTACAGGGTACAAAGTATGGCATCTACTAAGTACATATTAATTACATTTTCATAAGGCTAACAAGAGTTGGGGGCTAGTATGGGATAGATATCACAATGTCAGTATTGATCGGAAACAGGTGTCTCATTCACCATATGGCGTCTTTCTTTATTGTGCAAGAGAAACAGCACCAGCTGTCAAGGAGGTCATGTAACAAAAACACCTGTGAAAAAGCGAGCGTAGATGTAGATATGATTAATGACTTTCTCCCTCTTGGGCAGACTGAAGCCAACTAGTATATATATCGATTACAACACAGACACACAAACACATACATTTGTACCAAAAACAATACTTCTATTTTTCATGGTGGTAATCATTACTCAAATGGAACAACGGGTTATATATTATCTGTTGACTACAAGTGGATCTATGCACGAACGTGTTGTTTACATGTATGTGAAATCATCTACATAAACAAATTTTGTGACTATGAGTTATGAAAGACTTACCTTTTCATATATCTTCGCAGCATCCTTGCTTTTGCCCTGAAAATTAAGAAAAATGATGTTAAAGTGTCACTTTTTAGACATTCTTGATAACAATAAACACTCACTCAATACATTTATCAACTAGTTACGTTAATTTTGTTAATACTAAAACGCAGTCTGTCTACTAAACCCCATCCGGCCTAGTGATGAGAATGTCAATCTACCTACCGCCCTGTTGAGTAGGAAGTCCCCGTACTGTGCGTACGCGTCCCAACATTTCGGGTTCATTCTGATCGCAGCTTTGAACAGGATCTCAGCCTGGCCAAGAAATCCCAGCTAAGGATACAAAAAACATATCAATCAACAGTCCCTTACTTTCTTTATTCATACTATACATTTTCCTGGGTAGGACGTTAAACTGCATCCCAGTGGCGAGAGCAGGGGCATTCATGTTAAGTCTATACTTGTTCATACTAAGCAAGGGAGAATTGAATACATGTTGCTTGTACATTTTAACACAGATCTTCCATTGCAGTGAAACCTTGCTATTTTGTCAGTTTTGTGGATTAAGGCAAGCCACCTAAGAGGCTTTATACATATGTTTATATGTGTGTGTATCCATCTGATAGTATGTATGTAACTCCAGTTAGGTTACTTACCTCGGTGTACATTTGAGCCAGGGACAGGTAGGCGTGAACAAAGAACGGGTCTGTCTCAATCACTCGCTGATTCAGCTGTGGAAAAAAATTATACTGAGTGAGTGAGTGAATGAGTGAGTGGGTGGATGGATGGATGAAATTATAGTATTGATGGATGGATGGATGGATCCGGATGGATGGATCCGGATGGATGGATGGATGGGTGGTTGGATGGATGGATGGATGGATGGATGGATGGATGGATGGATGGATGGATGGATGGATGGATGGATGGGTGGATGGATGGATGGATCCAGATGGATCCGGATGGATGGATGGATGGATGGATGGATGGATGGATGGATGGATGGATGGATGGATGGATGGATGTTCAACATAATACTTCTTGTTCCATATCTCATCATTTACGAAAGTTTGTAGACATGGCAGATAGGCAAACCTACCAGACCATCCCTTGACACTACACGAACATCGTACGTACCTGTTTAGCTTCTTTCGTCCGGTCGACATCAGCCAGTGCTTGGCTGTATCTCAGCATCACCTCGGTATTATCTGAAGAAACGAAACAAATCATGGCTAAGTTTTTTTCATCATTTTTTTTTCTTTTATTTTTTATATTCCAACATGACATCAGAAGACGTGGTGACGGCACACTCAAGTTTTTTCAATTTATATTAATGCCGCCACCAACACAGGGGGCAATACAATACTCACTTTCACCTGAGCGAAGTGAGGAAAGTCGTGTAAAGTGCCTTTCCCAAGGGCCCAAGATCAGTGGCATGTCAGGACTCGAACTCGGGACCTCTTGGTCGAGCACTCTGCCGCTACGCTACACGACCCCACACATTTTTCATCATTTACATCCTCTCTGCGCCCTTTGCGAATCTCCAAGCAGAGATCCATTTGGGGGCAAGGCAGTATCAAACCGGCCCGGTCAGTTACCATTGGCCCGCGTAGTCTAATGGAAACTTGCGGTCAATTTGATACTGCTTAGCGCATGCCCTCGAATAAATCAGCGCGTACTTGGAGATACTGCATTGTAGTCCTCTGCTAGATATATCTAATGTCATAGATTTATAATATACTAGAAAGGTAACATTTGCAAAGCAAATGCATAATGTTTACCTAAGTTTGCATATGGTCTGTGCTGTCAATTCTTACTCAAACATATTCATATATGCTAAACTATACTTATGAAGGGTACAGTGAGCAGTTGTACCTAAACAAAACGGCAAAACATGTTCTATGACTACTAAACAGAGTGTCGACTAAATTACTTGCCAGGAATGTTAAGACAGGAATGGTAAGACAGGAGCCTAAATCCCTTCTGCTACAAAATTGCAACATTATGTAACCCAACACTAGTTACCATGGTGGCAGACGTCTGGTTCAGGTCATTGACCTTATTTGTTTGGAGAAGAAGAAGAGGAAACAGCAAAAACAATATGTTTTCCTTCGGTATACATAATAAACAGTACGAAAAACCATGTGACATCCCACACCTGGTAAGAGTTCATGCAGCTTCTTAAACACGTGAACCTGTCCCTCCCGTGCCTGCTCCTTGTACTTGTACTGAGGGTCTACAAGTCTGTCGGCGTTCCTGTTCCCTGGGAAAAGAACCAAGAAGACGAAGTTGGTATAGCCACCTTCTAATCTAGCACGCTGAAATATTATGTAGCTGTAGAAATTAGCTTTTATTTTCAAAAAAATTCTGTCAGCTATCTGTTGAGTGATATTGTACACTATATAACGATAAACGCACAAAGCTGTTCAACCGTCTCTCCGCCTGCTCAACAGAATTTGTTACATTTCATGCTATAGATAAATTTAAGTTCATCCTAGAAGGCAATAACCCTTACTGTGTACAAATAGGTAAATATATCAAAGAATGTTTAAACCTTAGAACAAGTAGTATTAGTTGACCCACCTATTGTTCTGTACGTGGGATATTTTCGTTGTACCCATGTATATTTGTCTGTATATCTACATGTCTTAGACCTTACGAAAGTCGCTGTACTTTTTGTTGTGCCAATAAAGTTCTTCTTTATCATCCTTAGAATGGTTGTACATTGTGGGTCATCCTATTTGAGACAGGATCTCTTTTTTAACACTGCGTTAACGTTCTGATGATGTCCTTACCTTCAAAGAACCACCTTCCCAAGTTGGTGCTGGCGTCTTTTCTCTTCATCTTGATAGAAACTGTTTCCCCGATGTTCAGTACGCTGTGGTAGTAGCCTTCAGGCTGGTAAATAAACAATAACATAGAGCCATTTAGAGTGTGTTCCTCTGAATGGGACACGGGTGATAAACCCTACATTTAGACAATTAGATACAATGATTTTTAAAAGTTCTCACTGACTCCGAAACTAGATATGAATAAACTTGCAACTTATTTCCTCAACACATCAGATTGTCTGCACCTACAACTTTTAAGAAACATATCAGGGATTGGCTGAAAACTAAAGTGGACACTTCCCAACCTCTGCAATCATGGTGGTAATCGACGACTGACGTACAGAATTACTTGCTCTTAACTGTATTGAGACCTCTGACCTCTCAGCAGTTTTATACCCTATGTTGTATTCTCATTTCCCATGTCGTATTTCATTGCTATGTTGCATTTTATTTGCCATGTTGTATTTAAGTTACGTTATGCTTCTTGTATATGTATGTATGTAGGTATAGTATAATGCAGTGTCTGTACTCAATACGACTCCAGGACTAGTGATGTATCATTGATTTGTACACACTAATGGAGATCGATCAAATAAACAAAACAAACAAACAAACAAACAATATGACTCAACTTAATTGCTCGACAACCATACTGATATATGGCAACAACTACTTAACAACAACACTATGATTGTTTGATTTGACTGATTTCATAGATATCTACCATGCATTATAAAGCGTTCTTACCAGATACAGTATTTCCCCTGCCTCTAAAACACACTCCTTTGGCTTTTTCTTGTCGTTTAGTTTTGGATAGACGTCAGTGAACCAGTCGATCACGCTGAATCCTGGCCAGAAACCTATAGCGAGGACAGAATAGTTTTGAAACTTTCAAAGTCATTATCTTCTGACAACGTATGGTCGTTGGAATGCTTAATTCAGGTGGATAGATTTCCCAAGTACAAAGTCAAGTCAACTACAGAGGCTGAATACCTAGTACCTCTAGGCAGAAAAAACTTGTGAAAAATATCGGATAACACTGTGATATTATTGGTCCAAGTAATGACTCCAGGCAGCACGTCAGAACATACTGTGCGTGTACTTCTACAGAACATATCGTTTAAGGTCGTGCTCATATCTTTATGGATGATATCTTGCCTGTAGTTTTAAAACGTTGTGTCGGAAAAGATATCGTACGGAACAAACAAAATTCTGACGCAAACATGGAACAGACTTTAAACATTGGTTTGGCGAAGGCGCAGTACGTTCTGCCGACATGGACCTACATGTAAACTAGCCTCCTTCGCAGTCTTGTTGGGCGTCGGCGTTATTTTTTCTCTGAGCGACGTGAGTAATATGCGGCCGCGAGAGACGATTTGCTGCCCAGGGACTTTTGCCACGGAGAGAAGGTTTCCCGCTCCAACAAACTTCTCTCCGTTGCAAAAGTCCCTCGGCAGCAAATCGTCCCTCGCGGCCGCATATTACTCGCGTCGCTCAGAGAAAAAATTACGCCGACGCCCAACAAGACTGCGAAGGAGGCTACATGTAAACCAATTAAGATACATAGACAGGTCAGAAAGAGGTGTTTTGCGGACGGAAGTTACGTGATTACGCACCGCCTGGAGGCGTGAGTTGTGGCGGGTAGAGGAACCATCGCTGCCGGCCGAACACCAGCCCGCTCCAGCCGTCCGTACCCGTGTGGAATGCCGCGCCAGACCGGGACGGACCCACGGAAAACGTCACGGCATCGCGAATGTCCTACAACATACAATCCATTCTCAATCACTAGGGTAGGAAGACAATGAGAGTCTAAAGAACTTTAGTGAGGGACGTAAAGTTGAAATCAGGGTTGACCGTTTTTTGTATTCTACATTTTTTATACTATCATGAAAGTTCATCTGTGTTGGTAGTTACATGTTTAAAGTTAAAACTTTTGGTCCAACACAAAAAAAATTCTCTCACCTAGAGCTTTCGACCAGTCACTCTGGTCTTCCTCAGTAGACATTTTGTTTCACTTGACACTGTAAGGATTTTAGACACTGAACAAGACTATTTCTTGAGAGGAGTGAAGGAAGCCATATATATCAGGGCCTATCACCCTACATTGAACCGCGACGGGGGTCGACATCGTCTACCAGGTACCTTTGACCCAATGTTGACGTCACACTTCAAAGAAGCCACGTGACAAGCTTCACTGGGTCAGTCTACTGAGGAAGACCAGAGTGACTGGTCGAAAGCTCTAGGTGAGAGAATTTTTGTGTTGGGCCAAAAGTTTTAACTTTAAATACTTTTTTTTCTGTGAGGGACCCACGGAAAGCGTCACGGCATCGCGAAGGTTCTACAACATACAATCTATGTTCAAATCAACAGGGTAAGAAGAGACTTTTATCAATGAGATACTTGGCTATAAAGGTACGATGGAACGTAAGCAGAGATGGTTTATATGCCGTTTAGTGTACCCCTCGACTATTGTATGGTCTACCTATGCAAAATAGCAGACCATACAATAGTTGACCCTTAAGATTAAACGATATAACATCCTTGGGTAAACGTGTTTTTTTTTCAGGTACCTTTGAGTGTTTTGTTAAGTATTCTACATGTTTCTGTATGTATAGGGGCCACGAACCTGAGATAAATACATAATTTTATTAACAATAAACAACTCTTACCGAAAGAAAGGCTGGAGGGTTGACTGTTTGGTCCAGCCGGCTGTCTCTGTAAAAATCACTGTCATAGACCTGTCTGAAAATAGGAGTGAGCTTCATATGACTGTGATAAAATTTAAGCTTGATAAACTCTATTTGTTAGAAATAAAAGTAGATTATTCCTAACAATCTAGGTCTTCATTTCGCACTATACTCGTTGAAAATCAACCTATAACTTTCTCACACTGAAATAAAGTCATTTGTACAAGCATTTTGCGATACTTTAACAGTAATAATATATTAAACTTACCGTGGCTCTTCATTCCTTTGTCCTTCCATAGTCGATAAGAAGTCGTAGAAGGACGTCTCGTTGTCTCCTACACCACCGTTACGCACGATGTCCAGGGATGTACCTGTGTGGAACATGATTTTGCTAGTCGTCAGGGCAGGGCAGATTTTTTTTTATTCCAACATGTAATCACCAGACGTGGTGACGACACACTCAAGTTTTTTCAACTTATATTAATGCCGATACCAACACAGGGGACAAATACATGACAGGACAGTACTCATTTACACCTGAGCTAAGTGAGGAAAGTCGTGTTAAGTGCCTTTCCCAAGGGCACAAGATCGGTGGCGTGTCAGGACTCGAACCCGGGACTCTAAGTTCCGAGTCGCGCACTCTGCCGCTACGCCACACGACCCCACAAGACAGATTTTGTCACACGTATCTGAGATTGCAAAACTCATGGCGACCTGTTAAGCATCAAGTAATTGGCAACATCCCTGAGGCGTCGCCAAAAGTACCGTTAAGCTATAAGATAATGGCAGAGGCGTACCTTAGTGTTTTTATCTACACGACACTGAAACCATGTTTAGACATCTCAATGCTCATGGGCAGCTAGACCACTTGGCAAAATACACATAGCTTTGCCGGTTTTCAGCATTTTTAATGCAATTTCAGTAGTTTTTACCTTTCTCTCCGTGTTTAGAGATGAAGCTACACAATAAACAAATTAACACAATTTGCTTGGCCCTGAAATACAATTCATTTCACCCAAAATACATTCAATTGGTTTTTGACGGGGATAGTCCGCCATAGCCTTGCCAATGCCTCATACCGTCCTCTCTCCAAAGAACCCGCCCCCCCCCCCTCACCTGATCGGACCGTCCAGCCGGAGTATTTCCCCAGTAGGTTCCGTTTTCCCCAGTCCGGTGTGTTGACCCATCCGGAAGCGCCATTCCGAAACCGGATGATGAGCGGGTTCTTATACCTGCAACACGGTACATGCACAGCATCATAACAACTTTGGAAAATGCATTTAATGATAATGAAATGAATCTTTATTGCATGTTCTTGCCCAGATGGGCTAAATGCACAAGAGGATATGCAGTATGCACAACATGAGTATTGCATATACTGGAACGCTATATTCTAATGCTAATTGCTAGGAATTTATACATTACAACAATACTATGTACTACCTATCATCTACTGTTAGTTGCCCTTTCTTCTCTCTTTTTGAAACATTTGGAAACATAATTACATAGTTTGTCTGCTATACATTCGTTCTTGCATGACATCAAGTGTTTAAACATGTCCTGCTTTGACATTTTCTTGCATATCTTGTCTAAATGTAAAATATCGAGTAGTTCTTGGCGTTCATCTTTATATAATGAAGCACTATAGACACTGCACAGTGGTGTGTACCAAATCATCTCTGGGTGAAGAAATCTGTTTGATATTGACATTTGCTGCCATTTCTTAGCACGCTTATGCACCATTATTTCATACAATTGAAGCATTTCTGCCTCACAGATATCATGATCAATATGCAATGGAATTGGGTTGATTCAACGTACTACATTTTAGAAATGCTCACCAGACAGTTGACTCTAAAAAATTCAGTTTTACTGCCCTGAAATCGCTTTGGGTGCCTTTCAAGATATAACTGTGGCTAGAGGCATTGTATTTTATTTCTAGTAGACATCGCTACATACCCTTTGCCTCCTAAATCGATATCAATTGTATACGTAGGTTTACGCATCGAAAGGCAAAAAAAATTACAATCATTTTACCTGAAGTTATCTCTGAACATCTGTGGAGTGACGTCATCCACGTAGTGCCTGTCAATCAGACATGATGACGTAGACAGTTTCTGCGCAGTCTCCCTGTCGGCAGAATTCCATCCTCCCGCTGAAGCACTCTCTTTTATCAACTCAACTTTATCAGGCTGCAGTTCCTCAGATTTCCGCGAGATGGTGCTTTTGTCGGTCACACGGGGATAGTGATACCAAGGTCTCATAAACTCCTGTTCGATCACGTTTTCTTGGTTCACCTTTTCTTGTTGTTTGTGCGGTAAGAAAGATTTGGCTTCTTTCTCTGCTGGTTGTAGAATTTTGTCCGTGTTTTCTGCCGGTTTTGGTGGCGTTTCTGTTGGCAGATTAACCGTTTCTTTCGGGCCATTCAGAAATGCCATAAGAATTGCTCCGAGAAGAAAAGCGCCCGCGACATAGAATAACGTGTCGGTTGGCTTCCCGGCATGCCTTGCTGCAGACCCATTCCTTGACGCTGCGTCGGTCTTCAGCTTTTTATTGTCGTCATTGGTCACGTGACCTGTGCCATTTTCTTGCTTCTTTTCTTGTTTTCGCTTCCTCAGTTCTCCAGCTTTGCTGTTTTTCCCCATTCTGACTTTACTGCAAATTCGCGGCGAAGTGCGTTCAATGTAACATTTTAGTATGCGCGACAAAGATTCCCTTTTTTCAACGATAACATATGAATTAAGATCTTTCAATTTTTTTCAACTTTCCTTTTATGCCCCCCCCCCCCATTTTTTGCACTATTAAAAATGCTCTAATGTTGAAACCACTTAAATGCACTGATGACTGTTTATAAGTTTTAGTCAGACAAACCCTCAACATGCATATGGTGATATGTTCTCTAAAGCAAAAACCTATTGTTACAGACAGGTCGTCATCTATCTTTGAACCACATTTCACCGACTTTTGTGACTCTAAATGCATAGCCAATTTGTGACTGTTGAATTTAGAACAGTAAGAATTTCGTGTGCATTTTAACACAATGAAAGCCTATTCCCCGGTCACTGTACCCTAACAACAGCGAAAACTCAAGTGCGGCCGTCTACAATTTGGTACTAAGTATCATGTATTGAGCCACAACAAATGCACGTAATCCTAAAATCCATCGAAGGGAGCGGGAGCGGGTACCCAAAAGAACTAACCTACCTTCTCAGGTCCACACACCGTTTCTTGATCTCTATAGAAGTAATACAACTCGTCCAGCGGTTTTGTGACAATTTAAAAGCCACGTCATAACCGACACCAGCTTGTGACTCTGTGACACGTGTATTATCTTTTTGCCACTCTGTCTGGGGACAATTCATAAATATCTAGCACAAGTCGAAGTTATAACATTTTAAATGAGTAAGTGAACGAAATCCCACTGGTTGAGTTATTAATGAACGCTCCCCTATTTAGAGCAGGGTCCAACCATATAGCGCCCAGCTGTTGCGGAGTGCCCGTTCAACCGTGAGCTCTTCGCGCGGCTTTTCATATTTAGGCCACAGCAAGTCAATTTTATGGATGACATCCTCCGCAGACTCAAAATCTAATGCGAGCGGGCGAAAAGAAAACAAGCCGGGCAAAAAAAAGCAAGGTTCCTACATTTTAAAATTTTGACTCAATCATTGTACAAATGGATCTGATTTAGTGGGAACATCACATATACACAGCCAGCATCACATATCACTGCATCAAAGTAAGAAACAAAACATTAAATCTGAGTCTTTTCTTGTCTTCTCTCTTTATAGTTATCTTCCATCCACCTTCCAGCATGGCAACAGACATCTTTGCCCATTTTTGGCATGGTGAATACCGTCAGAAGGCAACAAAATTTCTTGTTGTTTTTTTTTCAAAATCAGACGAAAATAAAGGCGTGGTGATGTCATCCATAAAAATTACTTGCTGTGGCCTAATTGTTCGAAACGTGTGTACATGTAAATACTCTAAATCCTATTGAACGCTAATCTCCAAGCAGATCCTAAGATGGCAAAAGACAGTATCAAATTGGCCAGACAGTATCAAATTGGCCAGGCATATACTGTATAGACGGCCCATACACCCCTGGCCAATTTGATACTGTCTTTTGCCACCTTAGGCTCTGCTTGGAGATTAATTAGATGCGACGTACTTTACAAAAAGTACATTATGTTGTCCAAAAAGATTTACCGATGGGCAAAACCTCGGATAATTTTGACCCCACTCCTATATATTCTAGCCTGGTATCAGTTTGATTCGTGGTCGGGGCCGAAAGAGCTCTGTCCCGCCCGCCTCACATAGGTTTCCCGGTGTGTATTTCACGAGAGATTGATTAGCCCTCCACGAACCACATCCCCAATCATACTGTCTCTTATTAGCGTAACACTCCTACCGGACGGCCTGTTGCACTGGGCGGGGGAAGCTATTAGAGCCCCCGAAGGCACAACCTGAACGAACACCCCAATACCCCCAATCACGTAAGACTGGATACCAGGCTATATATTCACGCAGGAGAATGAAACTTCGCTGATATAACTTTTAATGTGTCTGTTTCTGAAGGCCACAAAACTATTGACTACAGTGTACATGTCTACTCAAGACGTGGTGTAATTTACTAGCTGTCTCGGCACCTAGGTCGCTGTAGAAATTGGTGTGTTTGTCTTTATGCGTGGGAGAACTATATACAGTGAACATTGTATGCCTTTTTTGATTTCGACATTATTGAATGTGTAAATACATGACCCTTACTTTAATGACATGTAGTATGTATTGCTAACATACACGTGTTTTAACACGTATGCATCAGTTACATAATATGTAGGTGACGTTCTATCACGTTTCATTGGCCACTAGACAGCCCACTTTTGAGTAATAATAGTACTATTGCAATCAAAGCTGTCCGTTTACCATTAAATTTTCTTCTTTTTTTCTTTCTTTTTTTTTTTTGCATTGTGTGACGATTTCTGCATAATGTGTTTTGTATTGCAACATTGCAAGCTAGATAGTGACTGTGGAGGCAATAAGGTCGTGCACGGCTGGATATACCAGTCAAGTTATAGTCCGGTCTTCAAATATTACGTGTATTGTATGTTTGCATCCGTGTGCATTTGGTATTCGTCGTAGGGCACTGCATGCACTTGTAGTTAGTCGCTTCCTTCTTTCCTTCGACCATCCGCGTAGGCCACTGCGTATGGCTGAACCACACTGTCCGAATATGAAGACACGTCTCTAACATGTACAGGGACCGGCTGGCTGCCTACGACCGGGCTGGTAACAGGTGTTTGCTGTTCAGCTGAGTCAACGTTCACTATTGTGCTGTGGCTTTCTTCTTTCCTTCGGCCATCTGCATACGCCACCGCGTATGGCTGTACTAAACTGTCCGAATCTGACGTAACGTCGCTAGCAGGGGCTGGCTGGCTTCCTACGACCGGGCTGATAACAGGTGTTTGCAGTTTAGCTGAGTCAACGTTCACTACTGCGTTGTGGCTTTCTTGTTTCCCCGGACCATCCGCGTATGCCACCGCGTATGGCTGAACCACACTGTCTGAATCGAATGTGACGTCGCTAGCAGGGGCCGGCTGGCTTCCCGAAGCCGAGCTTATGACAGGTGCTTGCAGCTCAACCGATTCAGCGTACACTACTGCGTACGGCTGGACGTCCTGGCTTCCCACCGCTTCCAAAGAAACGGACACTCCGTCCCTTACCAATCCTGAGTGATAGCAGCGGTAGTACAGGAGAAGTATAACTGATGATACCATCGCAAAGACGAGGGACACAACAACAACCGAGATCGAGACAAAAATGTAGATCGTGCTCTCATCCTGGTTGATGATGTGGTTCCCCAAAAGAATGATAATATCTACCTCAGTTGTGTGTTCAGGGATTTCGCTGTTGTTTGTGTATGGCATCTCCGTAGACTTTATAGTAGTTGAGACGGTTTCTGTGTACGGATGGGTTGAGACAGATTGAGAACAGGTTGAACCGTTGTTGGCAGAAGCTGTCGTGACGGACGTTACTGCATACCGTCTCGTGTTAACGTTGGTCTGGCAGATGTGCTCTTTTAGGGTTTTCAGGTACATTCCACGGATACCGGGAGGTGATGCACACTTCAAGTACTGCCGAAGTTCTACCTGGTCCAGGGTCGGTAGATTACAGATGAACCAACCCAGGTCCCGGTCACATTTCAACTTGTTCTTCCCCAACAGGAGACCCAATCGCGGGTTTTCCTTCAGACGCTTGACTTGGGTGTCGATTGTGGTGATGAGGTTGTGGCGTAGGTTTGCAATCAGAAGTGATTTTGGCTGCAGAAGGGTATCAATGGGCACAGACCTTAGGTGGTTGTGGGACAGCCGTACTGAATCGAGGAGGGGGAGTTTACGAAATGCGTACTGAGCTATGACGGAAATACGGTTCTTCTCAAGGTACAGCTTTCCTAGATTGTCAAGCCCCATGAAAGTATCGGGTTCTGGAAAGAAGAAAATTCAATTTCAATTCAATATATTTATTTAATCAGTAATTACAACAGGCCATTTTGGCCTGGTTATCAGGTAAAACTGGATACACATAAAAATACACACACAAATACACAGTACATAAACTATTACTAATTACAACATCCTAAACATCAACAGTGTCAAGTCCTGCACCTAATGAACTGTTTAAAAATCCTGAGAAGTTCTGCTCCTAATGATCTCACAGTTTAAAAAGAGTAGTAGAAAAAAAGAATAAAAAGAAGAGTAACCATCTATATCAACATGGCAACATGAAAGTTTATCTGTGTCCCTGCTGGAATTAATTAAAAGACCAACTTGAAGAGTGGTCGAAAATGTCTGATCCATGTGTTGGAAAGTAGTTAGTTTTTTTCCGTCAAATTAATTTTTTCCATCAAATCATGGTGCTGTCAAATAGATGTGATGTAACGACAGTGACGAAAATATATCATTTCCAATCAGGAAACATGTAATGGTTCAATATTAACCTGCCATGACATGCACCAGTCACTTTGCAAATATCGGTCTCTACCAACTGACATCTTGGTACAGCTTTTGCAGAAACTGGACCTCGGAAATACTTTAACTGGCAATTCTAACATTCCATTGAAACATTTTAATATTAATTCAAATATTATCATCAATTCAATGTGTTAAGATGTGTAAACTACATGTAGAGGAAATAAATTGTTGCTGGAAATATAGTGTTGGCATGGTTAGGACTATCGTTGGGAATAGATATAGATTGAAAGCAAACTAGAGAAGTAACATTTGAAAGCAAATACACAATATTTACCTTCGGACATGGTCTGCTCTGTTAATTTTTACTTTAAAACATTCACATACATGCACTACGAGTACAAATGTATATGGTGACAGGAGTAGAGCAGACCATGAAATTGCAACATTATGTAACCCAACACCAGTCACCATGGTGACAGACGTCAAAACAAATCATGTCATTGGCCAGGTCAAAGGTTAGTGTTTGGAACAGAAGAGGAAGAAACTGAGTAAAGACAATATGTTTTCCTTCGGTAAACATAATCAATATTTTTTCTCGAATATATTGAAATTTCTGTCAACGTACCCAGACGTGTGATGCGGTTGTCGTCAAGATGGAGCATCGCCACCCCCGGTAG